AGAAAATGAAGGAGACATACTCTCACATATTCCAGAGGGAAAGACGTGATCCAGTGTTTATCTTATAATTTCGCAATATCAAACAAAAGTCGAACTTGTTGTTAGTGTCCACAGAATTATTTTACTTTTTTTCTACGGTTAAATCATGCTCTGCTTATTTCATCCTTGTGCAAAGAATCGAGAGAAAATCTGGTAGAAAAAAAAAAGAGAGAAACGACTAGAACGAAAAATAAAAATATTTTATTTCTCAGGTCTTGTATACATTACAACAGCAAAAGCAAGAGGAATAAGAATTTATTGAATGAGTTCTTTGTTGATTGGGATAGATTTCATTTATGAGCATAATTCACGGTTTCTTTTGTGCTTAGAGCATTCTTTCATTCAGAAAGGCCCCGTGGCCCAACGGATAAGGCATCTGACTACGAATCAGGGGATTCCAGGTTCGAATCCTGGCGGGGTCGCTGTTATTTTGATTCTTTTATCATTTTAATTGCCTTTCACGAGATACCACAGGTGAGGCATAGTTAATTTTGCTGGAGTAGAATTGCTGCATTTGCTTTAAAAAACAATTGAACGTTTATCTAATATTCTCTGGCTTCTATGATACAAGTCACCCTTTCGTGAAATGCAACCCCTCCCGGTGGAGTCATGATGCCTGTCACATTTGCTTGTTTTCCCAGGCTTCATTGCGGACTCTGGGCATTTCAAACAGCTGGAGTGATTAAGATTTTTGGTTCAAATCTCATGTTTCTGAGAAAGCTGACAGGACAGAGAGACTGGAGTGATGAAAATCTTGCATTTGGAATAGAATCTTTTGAGTTATTTGTTTACGCAAGGGAACGGTGCTTTGAATGCAGTAGATCCTGAAAAGAAGTACCGCAGGTTGTAAAAGGTGTGATTCACCAGAGCCGGATCACTCGGAATTCTGGAAAATTTTGGCGATCAAGGCAACTGACAAAGGTACCCGTGAGCTATCGGTGCAATTTCTTGGCGATCATTTTTGGGTAAAGGGTTAAATCTCTTCTCGTCCTGGAAGAAGATGGCGTTTGGGCAAGACGTCTATGGACAAATAGTTGAATATATTTACAATATCTATTTACCAAGAGATTATAAATAGTTTGTAATCTCTTGCTTCTTACTGAAATTAAACCAGAGTAAAAATAATAATTTCCAAACGTTCAATATCTAAACTGTATCACGATACGATAACATGCGAAATTCTCCAATATATAATGTCATCAGCTTCACCGCCACAGTTTCATGCCAGTTGTTGTTCTTATTGTACAATATTTTCAACGACCTGAGTCACAAAAAATTCAAATTTTTCCCTCCGAGAAGTTATAAATCTCTTTGAAAAAATAGTTTTCATTTGGAACTCAATGCTGCAAGGGAAGGTAAACACATCCAGTCTTTTGCAAAATTCTAACTACAAGCATAAATTAATTTTTTAATCGACACCTTCTTCGGCGTTTCCGTCCTTTCTGCAGGGCGTGAAATTAATTTTTTTCAGATAGCCACTTGGCTCCTAAATTCTTCGAAGTGGTAGCCAATTCAAAAAAAGTTGGTCACCATTTTCAAAGACAAACAAAACCTTTTGTTACGCTGTCAGCTTTTTTAGATAGACCCTCCAAAATTAAGGGGCCTGTTCACATGGAGGTAGAGGACCCCAGGTAGGTGAGGAAACCCGCCTAGCCGTGGTCGAAAAATAAAACGCGTTTACATGCAATCTTATAACCCCAGGTGCTGGGGTGAGGTTTCCTGAGGTTGTTGTTGCGTTTGCAATTAAGGAGTTTGAGTAGAGGCGTCCCAAGCTCACATCTCGAAAAAGACGAAAGATTAATTCTCGGACACATGTATTTATTTACGAAAGTGTCACGCGTTGTGTTACGCGGTGTTTGGTTTTGTGAGAAACCCTTGACTTAATACGTTTTACGGAATAGTTTAGAAAACCAACCAATGGTCGATTTACAACGCTAAATATTGCGAAATGTGAACATTTTACACTCCTTGTGTGTCCGTTGCGGTTTCTGGTGATTTCTGTCATGAGACAGCTAGGAAATGTACAAAGTTTTAAAACATACATGTTTCGCTTTTGAGCTTTTTACCATGAATGCGACCCCGGCTAGGCGGGTTACCCCACCTTGACACGTTTACATGGCAAATTGTCACCCCGGCTGACAGGGTTACCCTACCTGGCAAACCGAACAACCCGCCTAGGCGGGTCACCCCACCTATCATGTAAACATGATCAAAATAAAATAAAAAATTGTATGGACAGGCGGGTTACCCCACCTAGGCGGGTTACCTCACCTCCATGTATACAGGCCCTAAGTTAGGGAAAGGATCTTTAACGTGCTACAAAGTGGACACTAGGATGGATGACATACAACGTTCAAGCTCACCTAAATTCAAGATGGTGTCTAGTTATCGATCGAGGTGCATGTGCTGCCACTGGAAACAAAATTAACGAGGAAGTTTGCAAATCTTTTTAATTAAATGTATCTCTTGGCAGGGTTATGATGAAACAATCTAATTGCCAATTTGGCGACTAATCTTCAGGATTTGGTTGCTAAAGTGAAAAATTTAGTCGCATTGGCGCCTGTATTAGGCACAATTTCACGCCCTGAGGGGGGGAGGGAGGGGGCTGCACGTTGATGACACAAGGTCATACATCGGGAGCGCAAATTGATGTGTAAGTAGACGATGAATGCAATGCAAAATAGAGATACTTCTTTGTAGTGATATAAATTTGTTGACGAGAACAGAAATACAGAGAAACTGTTTACTAGCACCAAACATGTCAGAGCTTGTGTCTTTGCAATCAAAACGTTTAAAAGTTCCAAGTCCGTAAGCTCCCCATTTGAACTTTATGACAAACTAACCATTGAGAGAAAAAAATCGCACATCACATAACCTTTATGTACAGTATTTAAATGGAATTCAAACCATTCGTACTTGTTAAAAGTTTCGAGAGCATTGTGGAGACCTGGATTAGAAATCAAGTCATATTTGGTAGCGGAGCATTATTACACGTGCTTTTCAAACAAATTATATATTTTCCCATTCTGATAGGCTCCGGCCTCTCTAATGTACGATATACGTCATCCTTTGGTGAAATACAACCCCCAACGGAAATCTTCCCACATCTACCATGGAAACTGGTTTAAGATACTACCACTGTGATCATGGAGGATGATGAAAGGAAAATGAAGGAGACATATATTCTCACATATTCCATCGGGAAAGACATTCAGGTTTATCTTAGAATTTTGCAACATTAAACTGAAGAGAAGATCTGGTAGAAAAAGAAAGAGAAACAACCAGGACGACAAGTATAAATATTTTATTTCTCAGGCATTGTATACAAACAACTTCAACAGCAAAAGCATAAGGAATAAGAGTTTAATGAATGAGTCGTTTCTTGATCGGAATAGATTTCATTTTTGAGTGTAATTCACGCCTTTTCCACGCTTTGACCACCCCTCTTAAGAAAGGCCCTGTGGCCCAACGGATAAGGCATCTGATTCTGATTTTTTTCATCACTTTAATGATTACATGCTGGCAGGATTGGTAGACTCAAAGTTCGGTCACCAACTTAACAAAACTAGGACAAAATTACAGCGACAAGATACCCATTGGTTAAACGTATTCATAAGCGAAAACATGATAAAAATGGACGCAGCCGTCTGTCACATAGCAAGCGATTTAGAGCGCTTTGCGATGGAAAGTCGTAAAACCAAAACCAAAGTTATCCGGGTGGCCAATTAGACGAAAGGAGAAAGCCTTTGAGGGTCAATGAGCACTTAAAATAAAAGCAATCAAACGGCCTAAAGTGCGGGAAAACGCGGACGACCATTTCGTGATTGGTTTTAGTTTTGCTTCTGATTGGTTGAGAGAATGATGGAAGTTCTCAAGACCAATCACAAAGCGATGTCGGATTACTTTCGACACCCAACTTTAAAGGTAAATACTACTGCTTTAATACATCGTCGAAGTACAACCATGATACGTTAACTGTCCAGTTGGTGCTGAAAACCAATTACGCTCTAGAATTGATATCGATTTGATTACAGATGAGGACATTATGTTAAACCCAAAGGTAACCCTTTGTGCGCATGTCCTTTCTTATCACAGCGACAGTGCATAGACGTGCTGATTGTTATTGGAGTAAAAATTGCCAAACTCAGAGGACCAAACCACTTCATGCAAGGTAAGGCTCTAGCTAGCAATAGTCATGCTAAGTTATGCTCTCATTTCAGTGTCTGGTTGGAGGAAAAAGTGTTGATATTCAGCGTGCTCTGTATTCTTTTTGTTTTCAGTCGCTTCAATCACATTTGTGAACAGACAAGATTTATATAGCTGAGATTATCTCCATCAGCAAGAAGTTTGCCCAACAGTTTGCCGGTACCTATCATAATGCAAACGCATCCCGGCATACTTTTTCAAACTGATATTATCTTCGAAACTATACACCTCATTTGCATCTCATGTTTATTTGAATAAAAACGAGACAAACAACTCTGACAAATTTGGTTAGCACTCACCAAATAATTATCAAATATGACAATGCTACATACATATTTACAAAAGCTTTAAGAAATGATGTTCTGAAAATTGAAATCTTTATACCTTTACACATAGTTGTTTGATTTATTTTCTTACAAAAGTTTTCAAAAGACAATGAAATATAACGAACTCAAAGTAACAAACGACGCCCGGCTTTGAAGTTATTGAACAATTAAAAAGATAAAAGACTGTGTCGCCCACATTGACGATGATCTGTTGAATAAAAAAGAGAATCCGAGTCAATGTTACGATTTTAAGTCAAACGAAAGAAAAGGTAATACTACAGTTAACACAATGCTAATTATTGACAGGTTTATTTTTGGCATTTGATTTACTGAACAGCACTACACCTACTTCCGTATATTGTCTTACTGGCCAACACCTTACGAGGTCTTACGACAATGTTTGAACTCAGGGAGCTTATAACAGGCATTTTACAGGTTACTATTGTTTTTCCCATTGGAAACAGTGCTTGCCAGAACAGGATCTAATGGGTGATGGTAAGAATATGGACTCCCCAGACAGATAAAAAAGATTGGGCGAGGAAGTACCAAAGCTGAGAGGTACATTGACAGTTCTAGTTGTCTAACTGATTCGTCACTAAAACTAAATATGTGCAATCGTATTTCACAAGTTTTCTTATTCATACCTTTAGCTGGCTCAGTGGAGGCCTTTACATTTGATCTGACATTCTTCATGGCCTCAAGATCATTCGCTCTGACTGGAACGTTTATAACTTCAAGACATCCAGCGTTTTCCAATAGAGTGTCAAACCACGATGGTTGAAGGTCAAAATAATTTTTGCCTAGATAAAAGACAATTTTTGTTTTAGTTATGATGGCAATGCTGAGAATTTCATTTAAGCATAAAGATACCTGGGATTTTTAGCTTACCAAACCAAAGTGAGTTAAATTGAGCGAGACACTTTTCTAAACTGCCGCATAAACCGTGATCTTGAGCAAGAAAACAAGCTAACTCTTTTTAATTAAATTACCTCCTCCGAAAAAGGGTTGATCTGACTGGATAAGTCACGAGTCTTTAATGCAGAAGAAATCGTCACAGTTTGAGCTTAAACAAAGTTGGAAGCAGGGATGTGTGTTCTTTTTTTAACGCCTCTAGCTATCTTGGAAAAAAAAGTTCACCTTAATACCAGACGGGTTTGTCACTTTCAGAATACACTACTTCGTATAGATGTGGACTATTTCTTATATAGAATGGTATTTTACAATTTTCCATCTTCATACCTTTAGCTGGCTCAGCTGTGGGGGCCTTTGAATATGATTTAGCATTCTTCATGGCTTCAAGATCTTTTCCTTTAACCGGAACGTTTTCAACTTGAAGACATCCAGCGTTTTGGGATAGAGTGTCAAACCATGACGGTTGAAGGTCAAAATAATCTTTGCCTAGATAAAAGATAAATTAAGTTTTATTTTATGATTGCAATGTAGAGAATTTCGTTTCCACATAAAGATACCTAAGATTTTAGCTTACTGAACTAAAAGTGAATTAATTTCAGCGAAACACTTTTTCTGAACCGCCGCAAAAACCGTCACCTTGAGCACTCGATAAAAGAACAATCTAAGTCTTCAATTAAAGCTCCCTCCTCTGAAAAATGATTGATCTGAGTGGGTAAGTCACGAGTCGTGAATGCAGCAGAAATCATCACAGTTTGAGCTTGAACAAAGTTGGAAGCAGGGATATGCATTCGTTTTTACGCCTTAAGCTTTCTTGGAAAATAAGTTCACCATAATACCAGAGGAATCTATGTTATTTTTGTATGATGTAACACCTCATGAAGTTGCTCACTGAATTTGAGTCAGGCGAGTACATTGCAAAAGTACTAAAGCTGAAGGGTATATTAACAATTCTAATTAGCCTAATAGGTTCTTCACGCTCAGAAGACACTACTCCGCACAGATGTGGACTATCACCTATGTAGAATCGTATTTTAAAGTTTCCTTCTACATACCTTTCTTCATGGCTTCAAGATCTTTTGCTTTAAGTGGAACGTTTTCAACCTGAAGACATCCAACGTTTTTTGATAAAGTGTCAAACCATGACGGTTGAAGGTCCAAATAACCTTTGCCTAGATGAAAGATGATTAAAAAATCAAAGCCGATAGATGGAAGAACATGCTATCAGTTCTGAGTATCTAACTGCTTTCTGACTCTTAAGACTGCACTGCTTTCGCACAGGTGTGGACTGTAGAGGAATGGTAATTTACAAGTTTCCTTCTTCATACCTTTAGCTCGCTCAGTGAAGGCCCTTGAAGTGGATTTAACATTCCTTATGGTTTCAAGATCTTTTGCTCTAACTGGAAAGTTTTCAACTTTGAAACATCCACCGTTGTTGGATGGAGTGTCAAACCATGATTGTTGAAGGTCAAAGTAAGCTTTGCCTAGTTTAGAAAAAAAAAAAAAAAAGAAGCAGAAATAAAAATAAAAGTGCATGGAAGAACAGTTAATGAAATAAAAATATTTATTTTTAGTAAAAGATGATGCAGACCCCTCTTTCCTCTCCAACTACGTCCCATAACGCTTCCCTGGAACACAAAATGAGTTCATAAAAAACAAGGCAGTCGTATCAACCGCGTTGTCACCACTCAGTTGATGCGACGCCATCCCAATTTACATACTCACCATTAAATATTTGTGGTTTGCTCCGGGACTCTTCTACTTCCGTTTTATTCTTCTGGATAGTAAAATTAAAGCCCCCCTCGAGCTCGGCAATGTTCTTCCTTGCCTCCTGTAGCTTTTTGTCTATTGATGCCATTTGCTTAACAAAATCAGATTGAGTTCTTTGCACAGTTTGTTTTAGCTGGGACAGTTTTCCTTTGAGATCAGCAATGTCTTTGTCTGTCCCAAAGAGAGTTTGTTTAAGAAAGGCGATCTCCTTCTCTTTAGCTGTTAAAAAACAAATGAATATTTTAAGTACTTAGAATATTAGATTGAACAAATTCAAGGTTTGAGTGATAATGTAAACTGGGAAAACACAAAAAACGGAACTATTTATGACGGAACGAGAAGCAGTAGGGAGGGGGGAGGGGGTAAACGACTTATTATCAGTGGAGCATCGGTAACTCCTTGTAATCCGCGCGCACTTTTCTTTTCATGCATGCGTGACCACATAAAACTAACCGTTAATCTCTGTTTCAAGGTAGATGATCTTCTGTGTTAGTTGTTCCTTTTCTCTCGCAGACTGAAAAAAAAATTTGCCAACATATTGATTTCTTAATTAACGAAATTAGAAGAGAGCAAAAAAGCTGGGATACAAAGCACTATCAACTTTTTTATCCAGCTTGAAGATGGTGGAATGTCGAAGAGTGGCGTCATAATCTAAAAATTTCATTTGCGCGCGCTTTTTCACCTCTCCACGAAGAAAAAAATGTTCAAACTCAGTTACCTGAACGCCTTTAATGCAGAAAAGTTCTAGTTGCGTTGAATGTTTCTCCAATGTTGGACGGACTTAAAATTGAGCTAATTTTGGAGGGAACCGTTTTACAAGTCAAATCGGAACTAATTACGACCTATTTTCAAAGCTTATATATTGAATCAGGTAGTCTTGCGCGTTCGCCTTTAAAATCACTTGAACTTCCTTTTTCCTTGCCCCTTCGGATAACAAATTGTAACTTTTACAATAACTAAACCTACTTTTTAAGGAAAGAAAAAAGAAGTGTAATGATGAGAAACGCCCACCTCATTAGCCATGATCCGTGCCCCATGTGAGGCCTCTAAAGGCTCATGATAATTCTCAGCAGAACGATTTGTGACATTGACTTCTTCATCAAATATTCTCGCGGAACAGGATTTCCTCACAGACTCTTTGTCACCTGAGTTGTTTTTGTTCATTTTGTAACTGATGTCTTCATTAAAAGCATTGGATAAACTAGAAAAATGCATTCTCTTTCACGGTGCTATAGCATGAACTGAGCTCTTAGTGCGAAACAAAGTTTCGATTTGTTTATGACTAGTTGCATGGCAACGTGTTTATGCCGTCACATTGTGGCATCACGCCGGATTTGAAGTATTAAGTCTGGGCACTAGAATTTTGTTGAAGCCAACCATAGTTGGCCATTATAACGTTTTTATAATGTGAAATCGATAATGGATAACACGGGAAATATCAGCGGACAACGATGTACATAGAACCCTTCACAGCAGAATAGTTGATGTCATTGAGCGGGTTTCCTTCGTCCAAAGGAAAATGTGCGAACATTTAGTACATTGTTTAAAGAATGCTTACTCCGTGTCCAGAGTGCCAGCGATCACGAAGATGAAAATACCGAAAACAACTGAATAACTCCAAAAGACTTTAGGGGTGATGGCTTTTACGACTAACTGTGTTAACGGTAATGTTTTACGATTAACTTTAAATACGACTAACGGTTAAAAATAACCTCCCCTCAAATTTAAGCCGAAATATTAAATAAGCACCCGGGCTCCTATTCGAGGAAATAGGGTAACTGATTTAGTTTGAGCAGAAACTCAGAAATTACTCTTTGCATAAAACGAAAAGAATGCTGATATTTGTAGAAAGGAACAAATTCACAAGCGAAAACGAAATACGTGTTTTATCCTATGCTGGGGCCTGTTAACATGGAGGCGAGGGACCCCAGATAGGTGATGTAACCCGCCCAGCCGTGGTAGAAAAATGGCCTACATACAATCTCACAACTCCGGGTTGCCGGGGTGAAGTTTCTCGAGGTTGTAGTCACGCTTGCATTTAGTGAGATTAGATGTCACTTAGTAGCGAAGTGAGGTAAAACGGTGCCGTTTATTTTCAAACGTTTATCAATTTTCATTTATTTTCCTCTAAGGGTTTCTATTTGAATGAGAGCTAAAATAGGATTATGGTTTTGTCTTCCTCTTCGACATGGGTGAATTGTTCTGAAAGTGAGTTGAATATTTCTTCGGAGCGATTAAGCCTCCTGTACACCTGCAGGAGAATTGCCTCTTTGCTTTGACACTCAAGAAAGGCCCTGTGGCCCAATGGATAAGGCATCTGACTTCGAATCAGGGGATTCCAGGTTCGAGTCCTGGCGGGGTCGCTGTTGTTTTGGTGAAATAATCTTTGTATCTTCTGAATTTCTTTCATCCTTTTAATCGCTTTCATGAAGTTATTAGTCTGGATAAGAAATTAAGTTATGTTTGGAAGAAGAACATCGCTACACGTGCTTTTCAAACAAGTTATTTGTTTTTGCATTCTGATTCCGGCTTCGAATTCTATAATATACGACATAAGTCATCCTTTGGTGAAATAGTACCTCCACCGGAAATCCTTCCGCATCTACCATGGAAATTGGTTTGATTTATCACTGATAATTGATGATTTCTGTTCTCCTCAAAGAAGAGTCAAATCAATGATTATGTAGGACGATGAAAAGAAAACGAAGAAGACATACTCTCACATATTCCAGAGGGAAGGACGTGATCCAGAGTTTATCTTAGAATTTCGCAATATCAAACAAAAGTCGCGATTGTCGTCAGTGTTTACAGAAGTATTTTACTTTTTTTCTAAGGTTAAATCAAGCTCTGCTTATTTCATCCTTGTGCAAAGAATCGAGAGAAAATCTGGTAGAAAAAAAAAGAGAGAAACGAATAGAACGCAAAATATAAATATTTTATTTCTCAGGTCTTGTATACATTACAACAGCAAAAGCAGGAGCAAAAAGAATTTATTGAATAAGTTCTTTGTTGATTGGGATAGATTTCATTTATGAGCATAATTCACGCTTTCTTTTGTGCTTAGAGCATTCGCTTATTCAGAAAGGCCCCGTGGCCCAACGGATAAGGCATCTGACTACGAATCAGGGGATTCCAGGTTCGAATCCTGGCGGGGTCGCTGTTATTTTGATTCTTTTATCATTTTAATTGCCTTTCACCAGATACCACAGGTGAGGCATAGTTAAGTTTGCTGGAGTAGAATTACTGCATTTGCTTTTAAAAAGAATTGAACTTTTACCTAATATTCTCCGGCTTCCATAATACAAGTCATCCTTTCGTGAAATGCAACCCCTCCCGGTGGAGTCATGATGCCTGTCACATTTGCTTGTTTTCCCAGTCTTCATTGCGGTCTCTGGGGAAAAGTATGACCCGGCATTTCAAACAGCTGGAGCGAAAAGATTTTTGGTTCAAATCTCATGTTTCTGAGAAAGCTGACAGGACAGAGAGACTGGAGTGAGGAAAATCTTGCTTTTGGGATAGAATCTTTTGAGTAATTTGTTTACGCAAGGGAACGGTGCTTTGAATGCAGTAGATCCTGGCAAGAAGCACCGCAGGTTGTAAAAGGTGTGATTCGTCAGAGCCCAGATTTCTCGGAGTTCTGAAAAATTTTGGCGATCAAGGCAACTGAAAAGACGGCGTTTGGGCAAGACGTCTATGGACAAATAGTTGAATATATTTGCAATATCTATTTACTAAGAGATTTTATAACATAGCTAGTAAATTTGTCTGATCAAATTCAATTGCGCGAGCGTGCTTCATAGTCCTTTTGTGCACGCTCATGACGTCAGCAAACATATCCCTCGAGAAAAAAATTTTCCATCGGGTTGAAAATGTTATAAAACAATTGGTTCGTACGTCAGCTGTGCGTTCATCGAGATATGAAGCACTTGGGAAGTTTAGAGAGCACTCAAGAAGCTAGAGTTGCTCTCGGCTACGCCTCTAGCAACTCTTACGCATCTTTCGTGCTCTCCAAACTTCCCGCGTGCTTCATATCTCGATGAACGCACGCTGACGTATGAACCAATTGTTAAATAAATACTTTGTAATCTCTTGCTTCTTACTGAAATTTAACCAGAATAAAAATAATAATTTCCAAACGTTCAACTGTATCACGATTCGATAACATGCGAAATTCTCTAACATTTAATGTCACCAGCTTCACCGCTACAGTTTCATACGAATTGTTGTTCTTATTCTACAATATTTTCAACGACTTGAATCACAAAAAATTTAAAATTTTTCCCTCCGAGTAGTGATAAATCTCTTAGTAAAAACATTTTTCGTTCGTTTGTAGATTTTTACAGAGTTTTAATTCAACACATAGCTACCTCTTCAATTTTGAATATCAAACCAGAATAACAATACAAATTCCCCAAAGTTTTATGGTTCAACTGTAATTTGATGCGTTAAGTTACTTAATAAACTTACAGTGTATTTAGGAACCTCAAGCAAACCAAGAGGGCTACGAGGACGTGGCAATACAAAAGATTTAACGAGCAAAACAATAGCTTAGCGCGTGCATTTTAGAACTTCGTGCATTTCTAAGCCATCCTCTGCATAACCACAACGCGAAATAAGTTTGCATGATCTGAGAACAGAACCCATGGCAAATTATTTCAGTTTCCATTCGGAACTCAATGCGGTGAGAGACGGTAAACACATCCAGCCATTTTCAAAATTCTAACTGAAAACATAAATTCATTTTTTAATCGACATCTTCTTCGGCGTTTCCGTGCTAACTGCTTCAGGTTTCTTTTTTCTGTAATCACTTCTTTTGTTATCCTCTAAGTTACAGAAATGTACAAATTATTGGTCTCATTGCACAATTATTTCACGATTTGAATCACAAAAAAAACTTCACTTTTTCTTCCAGTTAACATCAGAGATAAACTCTTGGAAAAAAATACTTTTTTCTGTTTGTAGAAAATCATAGAGTTTCTAGATAAACACATAGCTACGTGTTCTATATCTACCCTGAAGGGAACCTTGTTCGGAAAATTACGTCGCACATCTAAGCTGTTACGCGAGATGAACTCGGAACTGGTCAAAAATGTAGCTAGGAATGTGAGCCTCGACAACCTGAATAACAGAGGGGTTTGAAAACAAATCATTAGTAATATAGTGCTGAACGAAAAACAGAAATGCGTTTTATTACAAAGGAGTCAAGTGCGAGTTCCAACAGAAATCTCTCACAGGGGAATGGAAGAAAATAAAGATAATTCGGATATTAGTCCACAATGGTCGTTACGAGTAAGAGCATGGTGTTTCCATTTTGGAAATGGCAGACGTGCATCGCACAACCATAAGGTTATGGTTGCTCGGTGGGGGGGAGGCTGCACGTTGATGACACATGTTCATCAGGAGCGCACATTGATATGTAAGTAGAAGACCAATTTTCATCAGAGGCATAGAAACTCAAGTAGTCTACTTTTTTGTTCTAACAAGAATCGGATATCACCTCTCATTATCTATAATCTATCACTGAACTAACGCCCAGGATGGAATCTATTTCTTAGTAGAAGCTTCAAGGCTTAATGCTTCTGTCACGGTTATTAGCCAATAAGAGGGCATACATGTTTTGTTATGCTGTAGAGGAAAGAACTTCAACAAGGAGCGTTCAAACAATATTGCATATCTACGGCAAAACAGTTAATATCTTTGCACCGACAACAAATGCCGAAACGTCAGCTTTTCCAGTTTACATCTGGTAACGATGCAGCACCACACTTTCTTCATAAACTTAATACTTTCTAATGTAGCTGCATTTTTAACATCAAATCAAATAACAACAGCTTACCTTCCTTGGAAGTTCACTGTACGCCAAAAAGTCTTCAAGGAAAACCAGCAGGTTTACAACTTCTGCTGGGATCTCTTGGCTTCTTACACTAAATCAAACACACAGAATAAGAAATCATCAAGTATTAAAGAGCGACTCGTAAAGTATACTCCAAAGATCACAATAATTTTTATCTCCGTAAGACCCTCAGTATGTAAAGTACAGAGTATTCAATATTCACTTGTCCTTTAATATCTTTCAGCTCATTTAAGCGGATCATTGTCAGTGTCTGAGCAACTGCACAACTATCCCTCTCGTAACTCAACTGATCAAATTAGACTGTAATGTAGCAAACATTTCTTGTTTCTGAATCAAAATTTGGACCCCTCCCCCGATCAAAAGTTCCTTGATCCGCTCCCACTCCACCCCAACAATCCGACTTCATGGTCGAATGTTACGTATTGGCCCAATCCCTAAAAACTAGTAATATCGTAAGTCTTTCATATCGCTCAAGTGATCCGCCCTTTTAAGATGCCCTTAAAAAGTGTACTTACTTTGTAGCCGTCGCCTCTATAAGGGACCTGACATATTGTCCACAGCACGACAAGAATTGTTCCGTGTACTCGGAATGGAACTGCTTCAGAACTGTAATCATTCCTACTACAAATGGTGCGCTGTCGATCTGATCAGTCGGTCGCTTGGCCACCATTGTTCCTGGTGCATCAGACGACAAACGAAATGTATTAGCTAAGGATGATTAGTTTGAGCAACATTATTTTCTGAAGTGCTTTCCGATTGAGGGTTGTTTAACCAAACCTTAACCCATTTAACTCCCAAGATCTGATTGTCAATTCTCCCCTCTAGCTGCTACACATTTCCTTGCAAATAAGTTCCAAGAAGTTGGTGTTAGATCATGAGACCTTCTACCTGATAGGTTGGAGTATTCTCATTAACCTGTTTACAGGATAATGTATGGATATTATAGGGAGAAGTGAAATGTTAATCACCTCTGGAAGTTGAACGGTAGATACCGAAAGCCAATGAAAACTCGACTTTTCATGTACCCCGCTTGAAGCGCAGAAAACGCGACCAACCAATTTACAACAGATTTTAATTTTACTCTTAGCCTTAGTAATTCGCAGGTACTATCTAAATGTAATAACAAAAGAGCTATCGTCTTACCGACGCTCTTGACGTAGACCAGCTTTGGCATCTGTGCAATCACGCACAAAAAATTCAGTAGTGCAAAATACGGATACTTCTTTGTAGTGATATAAATCTGTTGATAAGAACAGAAATATCTCTTAAATGCCCAATGACCTTTTACAAAATCTAAAAAACTCCACGTTCGTTAAATAACCTTGGCCAAAATGTTGGGACAGTTTGTTTGTTCTCGTTTTTGCGTGCAAGCAAAACCATAGTCTAAGCACTGGACTTCACGAATTTTATGCTTCTTGCATACAACCAGGAATGTAGGTACTTAACAAAGGAAAGTAACAGCTAAATAACTGTATAAAATAAAATTGAAGAGACTGACCTTTGTGAGTGGGTTATGAATACCAGCCCACTCAAGATATGACGTCAACTCAAACATAAGAGGATTCTCTTCCTTGGGATATGGTCGAGTGGGGTCCTGGTAATGAGCTTCAACATCGCGTAGCAGTGCACTGTACATAATGATTTTAATAACAAATAGTTTAAGTTCCACGCCAACTCCGAGAAGATAAAGTATCAAAAGTGACGAGCTGTAAGTAATACCAGGTTTGAAGACAGCAGATATCTGATAACAGCGCTGAGATAAAAATCACGAAACCTTCCATATACGATTAGGAAGTTACTTTGCGACTCGACAAACTTCTGATAATGAGAAACTGCATAATAGCACTAAACATATCAGAGCTTGTGTCTTTGCAGTCAAATTTAGAATCACCAAGACATGAAGGAATCTGCTCTGAAACGTTCAAGGTTCCAAATCCATAAGCTTCCCATTAGTGTTTTATGACAAACAAAGCATAGAGAGAAAAAAATCGCTTATCACATAGCCATTGTGAAGAGTATTTCAATGGATTGGGGAAACATTACATTACTGTAAGAATCAAAATCACTCATACTTGTTAAAAGTTTCCAGAGCATTGTGGAGAACTTTTGAGTCAAACTTGCAGGAACAGTTCAGCTCATTTGAGATTTGTCTTCTTATGAGCTGCATTTGGCCGACCTAAAGGATAAAAAAAAAAAAAAGAAAACAGTGGGTGATGATCAAAGACAGCAGAAAAAGCCGATTTTGTTTACCAATCGTAAAGCGTTATGCAACAAAACTAAAGCGATACCGGATTACACTACACGATCAGTTGAAAATTACTCTAACCCCTAAGTGCACTTCACGAAGTAAAACTCACGATAAAAACGAGATTCCCCATTTTCTTAACCGAGAACACCCACATTCCATGAAGCCACAGAGCTCTTATTGTAATAAATTGACTGAAATATCGAAAGAATCGGTTTACCTTCATGATTGCTTCACTATACTGAGTCCACAGACGAGCCAACTTTTGAGTAACTGGAGGATATACTCTGTATGGTGATGCTGTGGGGAAAGAATGTGAAATAAATAAATAAATAATTAAATAAAAATAAATAAATAAATACTCCTACTCCTGCATGCCACCGAAGCTACGTCAGTTTGGCTGCATCTTGAAAATTTAAGCCTAAATGTTTTTACGGTCGTTTCTGGAATCCATGTCGTTGGCCTCTCCAACTTTGAACATCATTGTTCCTTCTTCATTTATCATTGCATCCTATCCATGTTTTATAGTATATACTAGCATTCAATCACAAACACTGCAATCTGATTGGCTTCGCTAATCGCTCTCTGTTCCGTAAAAGATAGTAAATGATCCCCTAACAGCGTGTGTAAACAAAATGAAATATGGCAAAAACATGAGCCTGTCTCGTTGTTACGTTTTGGACGACTAGCGGATTTATACTAAAGCAATTAGATTATTTCCTCTCGATTTCTGCGCGTGATAGTTGGTTCGGGCCGCGCCACGCTACGCAATAGAAATATAGACCTCATAATCTAATGGTTACGTAATCTCCTTCCAGTTGAAGGAAACGTTGCAACACGTGACCGAAAAAGTAGTGGAATATGTCTTTTAACTTAGTCACTTTACAATCACAAAGAAATGCGGGGTTTCAAAGGGGTAGATTAAGGTTACAACACAACACATACAAACCGATGAGACTTTTGACGGGAGTAAGTTGTTTGGAAAGTCCAAGCAAAGTGTCTGCCACGAGTTTGTCTTTCAGTGCTCCTCTCAGCAATGCTTGGAATTTCTACAGAAAAAAGATAAAAGCATTGCTCGTAATGAAACAGCAAAAATCAGTTTAAATATTCCTAAAGGCGAGGCTACGTTTAACGATGTTCTCGAAAGATGAAGCTCCACCGCGAAGAGGTTTTTTTCTTTCATATTATGTAAGGTTAGTACACGAAGAAAATATCTTGGCCTGTTTTACCTCTTGCATATTAAGTCTCTATTTTGCTAATGCACATTTTTTTGTAGGGGGTTCACTGTCCTGCCTAACGTTCTCGACCATTAGTAAAATCAAATAACATACAACTGTCAAACCTGCAGTTCCTTGACTATCATAAACGACAGTAGTTTGTCCAATCCCGTCAGTCCAAACGAGCCAACAGCCTGCTGAAGTTGCTTTAGGATCAGTAAGTTCATAACCTCTTGCTTGGTTCTGTTGTCGTACCAGGCTCCCATTTGGTCGATGTAACACGTAGTCCTGACAAAGTAAGTATCCTTAAGTACTAAAGATCGAAATAGCAATTCCCTTCTAACTCAGTGCTGCACATTTTCTTGTGCAATTGGGTTTCCATAGCAGCCGGTTAGCAGGTAGATCAACCCGCTTGTGATAAGTTGATAAGTTGGGGGAGGGGGGGGAGGCAAGTTTCTAAAGAAACTGTGGTGCTGCTTCGGTGGAAGAGTATATCAGGGTAATGTAGTGGTATCAACTGAGTCGATAAAGTACAAAGTAAATTGGCCATCGTAAAGAGTTTCACAGCCGACTTTTCGAGCGTCAGCCCTTCGTCTATTTTCACCGAAGTTACCTCGAACGGAAAACCACTAAGTGCATGCGCCGCTACCTAAATCTACTTCAGTCTTTACCGTGCATCATTCATCTCTCAAATAAATATATCACAACTAAACAGATCACTAACTTAGTGTCTGTTATTCTGAGTATCTCCCTCGCTAGTCGTCCAATGAAATTGACAGACTCGTCCACAGGAGGAAACTTCGGTATGGGAATCGTGGTTGATTGATAAACAGACTGCCAGTCGTGGACCTGAAGAGACGAACAGACAAATAACCATTTAGATGGGTTTATGACCGCACAGTTACTATCTCAGAGTATCCTTTACAACCCCAACATCAGTATGCAAATTCTCCATACTGTTCCCTATACATTCCCTAAGGTGCTGATGAGGAGAATTTGTTTCAAAATCCAGAACTTCTCTGGTTGGTGATCATTTCCCTTATTCTCATGACCTTGATGTGTGATTCAGGGCTGATATTGTGAGGAGAAATTAGATGCTAGTCACTCTTATGTGGCCAAAGGGGGTTCCAGAGAAAAGTTCATTCCACTTGGCAGCCAGTAAGCAACAAGAACACTTTAACATGGCCTCAAATCTTCCTTCATAAGTAAGAACCATTTCTACTGTAGAAAACCTTACTGGCACATCCAATTTTCGGAAACCAAGGATAATAAGAGTGTTAAAGTTAATCTGCTTGAATCATGGACTAAAAGGTGTTTCGCGAACTTTAGCAAATCAAAAACCATTAACTCATTCTCTCCTCACAAACTAGCTGGACTATTTGGAAATATAGCTCACAGCAGATACTATAATAAACTTCTGTAACCCTAAAACTCATCTCTCCTGAACTACCTTCGTTTTACCGCTGCTATTGAGACGTTTTTTGTTTTCATAAGATTTCAAGCTCTAACCTTTTCTCTGAGAAAGCTATTGCATTCCTGTTCCACGTTGTAGTTGATGATTCTGGAAACTTCCTCTTGCCAGATTTTCAGACCATAGATGTTAATGTAATCTTGAATGTATTCAAAGGAACGCCGGAATCCGTCCATTCTTCCTCCAAGTTCCCTTAGCCTCAAGCCAAGTTCCGATTGCTGTCAGAATTAACACAATGCCTTTCATCTTTAACTTGTGAGCAGATAATTATTGAATATCGAAACTGAGTCAGGATTAATTTAATTTTGCTTTACTTCGCTTAATAGCGCACCAGATGCGAGACTTAAACCAATCACGACTTTGTCACCGGTGTTTTCCCGCGATTGCGAAAGTGAACTCTGATTTCACTCTAACATTAGCACGCCCTTAAAATTAACATAAGCATAAATATTCCCCATACGGTTCTCCTCACATTTACTGTGCTACTGACAAGGAGACTTTGTCTAATAATCAAGAGCTTCTTGAGTTGCTGATCATTTCTTTTATTCTCGTGAACTAAATGTGTGGTTCAGGGCTGGAACTGTAGGGAGAAATAAGATGTTAGTCACTCTTCACGCCAAAAGGGTTAGGATCATTCTGTAATTTACCTTAGCCCTTGGATTAAACGTGAGAACAATGTGGAGAGCAGACGCCACCTGTCTGACCAACTCTTTCCTAATCCCATCCTCTAGAAGCTGCTTTGGGTCAATCTGAAAACAGTGAAAATGTTGCCTTTAACTTCTATAAGAGGGGTATGGCACTCTTCATTAAAGGCCAACCCTGTCTAGCACGATGGGAAGATAAAATAAGGAAATTGTTTCAAAATGGCTAGATGGGGAACTTGTGATGGTTATACATACAAAATAGAATTATGCTACTTGGTTAAATCATAGAACGATTTTCAATTGAGTGTTGCAGTAATCCTGATTGGCCTAATATCAGCGCGCGCCACTCTCTTAACCAATCAAATTCAAAACTAAAAGCAATGGTGACCTGGTCACGCGCGTTTTCCCGCGCTTCGAGTAGTTTGCTTGTTTTTACTTGGAGTTCTCATTGTCTTCTTAAAATATTTTCCTTTATTCTGAATTTCGTTGCAATTACTCTGGTTTTGGTTTCTTAAAACTCAACTAAAAAGTCATCTGCAATGCTATCCACCAGTACTTACCTTAATAATTCCGACCAAAGTTGTCTTCATCATCAAAATCCCTTCCGTGAACACGGAAATAGCATGTGTCAACTTCGCTATCTAAAAAAAAAAACCACACATTGGTTTAATTACGATGTTGCTCTGAAAGAAGGGGAGACATTGCTAAATGGCTAATATATTTGTATTAAATGGTTCTTTCTGATATAAGTCTTTTATGATCACTGAAACATACCTGGTATCTCTCATCCAATTGCGCATATTCTCTCAATTTATCCTTTTCCAACCTGGTTGGAACCTTGTAAGACACAGCATTAGAAAAATATCGTTAGTGTGTGATGAAGATGACGATGATTTTTTTTTCGCCTTTTTTTTTTTAGGTAGCGTGAAGCTATGTTATGAGCTACAGGGCTAAATAATGTCTTTTTACTATCTTGAAAAATTAAAAAAAAAAAAAAAAGGGCATCGTTGACAAACCAACCTCCTTCACGCTGCTGATCTGGAGTTGAATGATTCTTGCAAGAAGACCAAACATTGTCTCTGGAATAATCTGTAAAACCTGGAGATATGATAGTTTGGTCATTAAATGTGCACATCTAATGTTGCTTCACTTTGTGCCAACTCAGCTCAGAAAAAAAAAATTGCAAATAAAAGAGGAATGTTCACCATAATGCCCAAAAGGGATGAATACTCGGAAAAATCTGAAAGTTACTCCAATCTCACAAGTTGAGATGTAACTAAAAACCTTTTTTGCAGAAGCAAGAAAAATGTAAACAAGATAAATCCACCAAGAGAGAGCACTGTCTGAGATCCTACAGAGCATATGCATTTTACTAATCCACAATTTATCATGAGCACATCAGCATAATTACCTTTCTCACATAAGCCACCAATTCACCGGAGTAGTACTGGGACACACTCACTAAATCAGGACTATTAGCCTGGCCAATGCGCACCAGAGGCAAATCCATAGCTGAGGCCATCTATGAAGAGATTCTAAAAGTTAGTCTACTCTTGCACTAGTCAGGAGATAAGCCTTTTGTCGCTGGAGTGTAAAGATGAACAGTGTTATTTTACCTTGAGGAATGTTGCTCTTAATTTCTGAACCAAAGAAGGGTTACTCTTTATTCCTTGTTGCATGAATCCAGAGTAACTGCAATAACATCAATAACAATCTGTTTAGGAAATCAAATTGTTAAAAGTGTCTCTTAACGCTTTCACTCTTAAGATCTCATTAGTAATTCTCCTTGCTGTCTGCCACACAATGGCTATGATGTAAGTTCAGATAATTTGATAGGAATCAACTTACAATCCCCAAATTGATATTTTTCTTTATTCTAATCAATTGTCTGCATGATATTGTATCGATATTGAAAGGCAAAATTAAGTCTAGGTCACTCTTGGGACTTAAAGGGGTTAAATTGTCTGATTGAGATCCTTGAACAATGGCTGAAAAAAAAAAAAGAGAGCTACAAAATGATACACAAACAAAAAATGAAAAACTAAAAAATGCTCATGTGCTACATGGGCAATGAAATTTAATTGCTTTAGCACTGAATGAATCTGCATCAAGAAAAATGGTGCTTTGCGACACCCACTCGATTAGTTCTTAGAGCTATTTGGGTGTCCCAAACTCCATGCAATTAACATAGTATTTAAATATTAATTTCTTCCTTTCCTTCTTTATTTCTTAGACATCCTTAGTAACAATGAATTGTAAATTATTTTGGTTTCTTTTTTCGTTTTCTTATTGCACTGTATTCTTTACATTGATGTTTGTAACACTACTGTAATAATTATAACCTTCTCTAATACACTGTATTTGTGTAAGTTTATATAAAATTGAATTTAATTGAAGTGAAGAGGGAATATAAGCAGCTAAGTGACACACACAAAAAGGTAGAAGTCTGTTTGTCTTACCTATCAATAATATTCCACGCATAAGATAAGTCAGCTACTAACTGAATGGTGATCAAAACCTGCAAAAGCAGAGAGAGATTACACAATTAATCATCATCATCTGATATACTTGACATGAAGCTTGGAAGCCAGGCACACACCTCTTCTTTAATATTGATTGTCCTAATCATCTGATGCAGGAACTGCCTTGTTTCCAGGAGAAATTGTCGTACTTGAAGGTTGCTCTCCAGTTGATGAAATTCTTGAACCTAAAAGAATAATAAAGATTACTCACTCATCTATTCCAGGCTGGCACTTGTTAACTTTTTCTATCTAAAGGGTGGGTATTTATTTGAGGTGGGTGCTAAACCAAATAAATAAGGTATGTCAGGAAAATAATCTAAGTACATGTCCATGAATTGGCTTTAAGTACAGTATTTGCTATACAGCAATGACAGCAAACCTCTTCTAATGCTTGGATAAGCTGCACCATCTTACGTCCAGCTGAGGTGGAGTCTTCATAATTTAATGAAGAAATCTGATTGGACATCTCCTTGAACCAAGCTTGAAGGTTTTCTAATGGACAGAAATTAAGTTTGAATGCTAGTTACTTGAGAATTTTGGACTATTACTACACATTACACAACTTTGCAGCTTTAGTTTTTGATAAAAAGACACAAGTCATAGTTTGTACCATTTCAAACCATAGTTAGTACTAACTATGTTCAAACTCACAAGATTTTCTGACTTTTCATGACTTACTAATAGTACAATACCTCCAAAAAATGCAAAAGGATTAATTGTAATAAAGACACTTTTCCTTTTCCTTTCTCAAACTTATCATTTTCGGTAATCTTCTATAACTTTGCACAACCCACACTCATATCACACCACTTTTGAGCCTTGGACATGATAATGTATAATTTCATGACTTTCCAAGTTTTTTTCAATTTAAGCTAAAAAAAAAAACCCTGTGGGTAGTATAAATTGCACAGGTGAATGTATTTCATTCACAGATCTTAACCCTTTCACCCCTATGGGTGTCTTAATTGTATCAACCTAAATTCTCCTTACAATATCACCCCTGAATCAAATACTATGTTCATGCAATAAAAGAAATGATCACCAACTAAAGAAGCTATTGATTGTTGACAAATTCTCCTTATCAGCACCTTAAGGAAATGTGTAGAGAACAGTATGGAGAATATGCATATTGATGTTAGGGTGTAAAGGTTTGATAGTTCATGTCTACTGAGATAATGACTGTTTTATGTCAATCATGGTTGAAGTTCATGTTATTTTACCATTCTTTTGAATTCTTGTCAGTGGTTTGGTCCCAGAAAATACTTCAGAGAGCTCATCCATCCTTTCAACTCCTTCTGTTTTGTGTTTTTCCCATTGAGACTGCTTCTGTGCCAACATCTGCTTGAACATCTGATGCAATGTTAAAAATAAATATAAATAATTAAAAGTATGTTTCACCATTCATATTTTTGAAAGTAGTTCAATTTCCATTCTTCTTTGTCTTCTAATCATTATTTAACCAAAAACAAAAATTAAGATGCTATAGAAAATTTTCATTAATGGAATAAATCTGTACCACATTATAAATGTAATAATGATCAATAAATAAGATTTTTAATTAGAAATGTAATAATCTTTATGATAATTAATATAAACACACACTTGAAAATCAAGCATATGAAAATGAAGGTTGTAAAATTAATGTCCTTATTAAAGGTTGCGTTCTGTGTCTGTAGTAAAAACTAAGAAAGTAAAGTTCTGACCATCTGAGATACAAAGGTAAAAGGTCAACCATAAAAATATAAATCATGATGGTGATTACAAACCTCCTTCAGTTTTAGTTCAAACTGAGCAGTATTCAACAGCAGCTCAAAGACAGCTTTTGGGTCATACCCTGATGCAGTTACCATCTCTCTAAGAGCACGACATCTCTTGTACACATCAAATACTGTCAAATAATTTCAACTGGTTAATTTCAATTGATTCTTACTGCTTCATAGAAAAACTTGTACTCGCTCCCTTTTAAAGTTGTGTGGATTCCTTTGAGTGCCATAAACCGAAAAAAAAAGCTTGTCAAGTCATCCATAGTGGTCAGGGTAGATGGACTTGTTAAGTGACAAGTTTTAAGTCACTTTCAAGTCTCTTTCTTTAGAAACTAGCTTAAAAGTCAAGTTTAGGGGACTTGTTAACCCTGATTAACATGTAACTTCTCTCTAGGATATCCATACATAATCCATCAAACAGTTAATGAGAATGCTTAAACTTATCAGTTAGAAGTTGCCATCTCCATCGAGTACCAAAGCCTAGTAACATATTTATAAGGAGATGCATAGCAGCTAAAGAGGATCAGATCTTGTAAGTTTAAGGGTTAAGGAAACATGTGATAAACCGTTTAAGTGCTTGAGTTAGCCGTTTAGTATCTGTTTAAAGCCGTTTTTCTGGACCGTTTAACGGAAAAGCGTTAGTGTCCGTTTTCCCATGGAGGGTCACATATATTAATCAAAGGTATTCTTTTTCCCTGAGTAACTGACTGCCAGGGAAGATAACTTGACAAAACCTTGAGGAAAACTCCCAAAAGAAATGTAAGACTGGCTTTTGTTATGGAAGTTGGCCTTTGATTGGAGGGTATTGCATTATCAAACATTGTGCCCTTGAATCATGTCCTGCACTCAGGTTTTATAAGAACATGGTAATCTGTAGTCATATCAAGTGAAGGGCAAACCATGGTTTTTAGCCAAACACTCACCTTCACAGTTATGAAGCATGAGCCACCTCAGAGTCACATTACAGTCTCTGATGCAGTTCATGAGTTTTGGGATATGATCCAATGCATATTCTTCAACAAGAAATCCTTCTTTCAGATAATTCAACACCTACCATTGAGGATAAAAAAAAAACAAATTTAATTCAGCTTTGCAAGAAAAAATGGAGAAAATCACTTAAGCATGGACTGAGCATTTTTACTCATACAAGTACTCACATATAAGTTATGGATGTACTCATTTTTATTAGAACTGATGCCGAAGAATTGTTGTCTAATTGAATGTCAACTACTGGAAAGTTCAGTTATATCCTCCACACACCAAATCATTTCAATCCCACACATACCCTAAAAACAACCAGGTGAAAAAAAAATAAGGATGACAGAAAACAAAAAGAAAAATGGCTCTCAATCCTGTTTATAGTCTATTTGAGTTGATAATTTTGGCTATCAATAATAAAACTTGATATGAATATCCAGGTTGAGGTTCAGGCTGTGTTTAAATTTCTTCCATTTGTGGTGTAAACTAACAACAAACCACTGAACAAATATTTACCTCCCCATTCAGGGTTCTAACTTTTGTATTGTATCTGGTTGCCTGTAAAGAAAGTTGACAGGAAACATACATGTACTTCACTTCAATAAAGACGAGGCAGATGGTTATAACAAAAACAAATCTGTAGAGGCAGTGTTCCTAATCATTTTATGTGATGTGACAAATTAGCCCTTAAGCCCCTAAGAGTGACTAGCACCTAATTTCTCCTTTCAATATCACCCATCAGGCTGAATCACAAACTAAGGTCAAGAGAAAATGATCAACAACTTAAGCTCTGAATCGTTAAGCTCATTCTCCTTGTCAGCACCTTAGGAAACGTATAAAGAACAGTATGGAGAATATGTGAATTGATGTTAGGGTGTAAAGGGTTAAGAGAGTTAATTGGAAGGAAATTGGCACTTTTAACCCTGTCTCAAATGGAGGCTAAGTGCGTGAAGGGCCCAGGTACTCCAACCAAAGTCACACCCCAAGGTACTAGAACACCTGAGTGGCCTGCCCAAACTGCAATTCAGCCATGCACTCCCCATCCCAAGCCCCCTATGAGCACCCATCACACTAGAGCCAGATAGTTCAGTGGAGGAAAACATACACGAATCAATAAATAAAACAAATAAATAGAAATAAACCTCACACAAGAAAACCCTGCATTTAGGGTTAGGGAGGGGGGGAGGGGAGGGAAATGCCAAGAACCGCTATCTTCAAGGATGACAATGCCAGGCTATAGTGCAGTGAACACAATGTGAGCACATGGCAGAACAACACATGCACTAATAAGGTATACTGCTAAACAAGGATAGCCCCAGGGGCCCATTGACCACAGTACTGCAGCAAAATGCTACAGAATGCAACAAATGCTGCATGAATGCTAACAGCCAGGCAGGAAGTAAACCAAATGCCTGAAAACCCTCCTGACCATATCTGCTCCTAGTTTTTAACTATGTTGAATTCCATTCAACTATATACACATAGATAATGTAAATACTGCAAAAAAAAAAAAAATGTCTTACCAATGGTTTGACATTATTGGGATCAAGAGTATTGTTGAGAGCTGTCTTGGCAGCTTTGTAAGGATCCCAAGCTTCTACTAAATTGACAACAATTCCCATGTATATACTGATCACCTATAATGTTAAAAAAAGGTAAACAAACAAGCAAAACATACATGTTAAATAAATATTGACTTTTTTCAAAGAAATAAAACTCAATAGCAAAAGATCAGTGTGTGGGTGAATGGATAGATAAATGAATGGATGTAGGACTAATAATGGTGGTAGGACTGAGTGGACTCCACTTTAGTCTGTAATAATAATTATAAGTGATAAACAAAATCAGACAACCGCAAAGCGGGACTCCTGTTTGTCAATCACAAGTATGATTACAGACAGAACTGGACAATAAGAAGTCCTGTTACCATTTAATCATAACTGTTATTAATAATTTTCAAAAAAAACAAATACATTTAGGATTAACATCTTCGGTAGAGAAAATTTCTTAGGTGTAAGAAACTCCTCCATTTTGGAATTTTCCAAGTTTCAGGATAAGTGGTTGTTGCCATGGTTATTGTGATCAATTCTGTGATTGATGGATTTAGCTGAGTAGACTTAGTGTGATTGGTTGCTTCAACTCCGATTACAGGTGTTCAATTACAGCCAACTGTCTGATTACACTTTCTGATTACAACTGTACAGAATGGTAAGTGAAAAATGAAGCAGCTAATCATGTTTGAAGAAATTGTAATGGTTATGATTAGGGAAGAAACCACACATGCATTGGAAGTTCAGTGCGAGGGAGCCAACATCAGTGTAATGGTTGATTCTAACTGCACAAGACTGTTTTACTACCATTTTAAAATGGTTATTAAGTCAGATTAACTGTTATTGCATTGCATGCCAACATACAATTAATCGGCAATTATCTTACCCAATTATCAGGGAAGTGTTTGTCCACAATCTCTCTCATTTTAGCCTGCTGGTTCTGCAGAATATCTGGTGCAAAAAACAAGATGACATACAACATGGAGGCCTGGGTAGCCAGGGCTGTACTGCGATGTTCTGGCAGGGGGTAAGCTGAGATCTAAAAGACCAAGAAAAGTATAAATCAAGAGTAAATAAAGTCTCTATTAAAAAAAAATTGATGATATGGCACCCTTAACCTTCTAACAAACCTGATTGTAGACATCGTCAGACCGCAAACGGCCAATGAGCATATCCACAAATGAATCAGGGAGGGAGATTCGCCTTAAAAGAAAGAATGTACAAAAGTTGAGAACTTTGAAAGAGACAACTAGACACTCATGAATATGTGCTCATTTCTTGCATTATGACTAAACATTGGAATCATGCACATAGGCCAATTCCTTAAACCCTGTTTAACAAAGTTCAGCACCAGTAGTTCCATGGCCTGACAACTTGTGACTATCAATAGAAAAACAAAAGAATCATGTTTTCCATTCGTGTTTTATTGTTTGATTTGCTTTTACCCTTATTGTTTTGGTTTTACACATTTTTTTAGTATCTTTCAGAAGTTGTTTAATTAATGAACCTTGAGCACTGTTTTGAAGTTCCAAGACAATTTCCTTAAACTTTCAGGAGTTGCTAAAAAATTTTTGCCCTTAATGTGTGTTATATGTCATTGGATCCTGTGAATTAACTTGCATTAGATTTAGAAATGCAAACAGTCTTGAAACAGATTTAGGATGTGAAAGCTGAGAGGATACAATATTTACCTAAAATAATCCTCTGGATATTTTAAAGGTCTCTTTGCTCCTGGGACATTGGAATATCCAGTACTTCTTAGAAGTTTACACACATCATCAAGATTTGAGTCTACATCTGCTCTCGCTGCACTGAAATGATGAAATCATTACAAGAGACAACATGTTATTTCACATCATGCTGAACATTAAATCTCTCATGGAGCTACTTCATACAGGACTGGTACACATGTTCATGTAAGTTTAACTTAATTAATTGCAGGAAGTAAAGCCTGGAAAAATAATTTTGCTTGAACCTGTATCTTCTACATACCAGTTTAGTACTAGTACTTAAAGCATGGCCACAAAACTTCATCTTAGGAAAGAGGTCTGTTTTTGTGAGTTGCACTAAAAATTTTTCCTGCTCCTGAAAATGTGGCTAATTATTGTATAAAAGAAGTTTAGTTGGTAGTTCTCAACCCGTACCTCTTGAACAGAACATAGTTGATAATGGTAGGGCTTAACATGACTACACCCATCTTACCAGTATCTGTGGTAAGACACCAACATCCTCTCTCGCACATCTCCCTCAAACTTCATGTCAATTACTAACAGCATAATCCCATAGAGATACAGACTCTCACACTGTGCCACAAATAAAAAGTACGTTAGTATCCTTAAATCATCTCCTAAATAAAATTTTGCTAATGCTATCATAAAATATCATGAATAGTGAAGCACCACTTGAAAAAACAGAACAGATTATTTACAGAAAATTAGGCCCAGTCTCAAGGTATGGTGCTGCAGTACACCCATGGCCTCAAGATCACAGGCACACCAATACACTTTCAGCTTAAGATTGAGCGACTGAACGCTAGTCTTACAATACTTCCATGCATTACTTCTAATTTGATATCTCGAGAAATTACTTTCTCTCAGTGGGGTGTTTATACAAATGAAGTGCAAAAACAAATACAGAAACTATCATCCTATTTAACTGCAACAGAAGAGGTTAACACCTCGGGTAATTTCATTATTAATCAATAAAGAAAGAAATGACAATGTATTTTAGAAATACGATTCTCACCATGAGCTGTTTACCATCCTCAATAAGAAGTATACTCTCTAGTGTTTGTTGTATGAATATTCCTTCATCAAGATCTTCAAGATATCTGGAGATAAAAAACAATCACAATTGTAAGTAATATTAATACCATTTAATAAAAGAAAAAAAACAAAAAACAAAAAACAACAACAAAAAAGCATGCAATCACACTGTTCAAATTATTATATCCCTACTCATCTAAACTGTGTCATAACAGAAAATAATGTTGATACCCCTATCACAATAACATGTGATTTACTAATTTTTCTTTTATGAGCAATAATATTACTGTATGATTCTGTTTTAAAGTGAGTTTTAACTACAAGTTTCATTTCTATTTTTCTCTGTTTCAGATGTTTTATACATTTTTACATAGAGTTAAATGGTATCACACAGTATTACATAAAGAAGTTCTAAGATATAATTGTATTTATATGATAAGCTGAATCTTACACACAATTTGATTGTTTTTTACTTATGATCTATTGGAGGACAGATGCTTCGATAATGTCACAGTTAACATAATCATGGAAAACAAAAATATTCTATGATTCTGTGGGTCAGTAAAGTAATAGATTTCAAAAGACCTCAAAATGTGGTAAGAACATCAGTGAGACACGCAGCTGTCTCTCGTGTGCCACCTTTTCCATTCTTAACAAGTTTTGCTGTCATCTGTGATCTGAACAGATGCATAGAAACATAGAATCTTTTTGTATGTTATTATACCAGGTACAAATATTAAAGCCATAACAGTTTCAGAAATTTCAGACCATACATGTTCAGGGGGAAAAGTAAACAAGTATTGTTTTCTCAGATTGGTTTTTATTTGTGTGATCTATAAGCAGCCTTACCTGTTGAGATCAGTAATATACTTGTGGACACTTTCAAAGGCTTTATAGAATCTAGTCAAGATTTCAATATGATTTTCTCTGAATTCTTCATCAAGATCTTGAAGGTCCTACATATGAGAGAGACATATGAGACCTTACATCTAGAAATCACACATATGATCTAGAGGGTAAATAGTTCCATATGTTGACATAAGTGCAACATATTTCTTTCAACAGCAATCAGTTGAAAAAAAAAGGGTCAATATTTCCAATCCTGTGACTACCAAATCTTGATTTTACCACAATCTTCATGCAAAAAAGAAAAAAAAACCAATCAATCAAAGTTCAGCAAACAATCTTTAAGCAAAAATCTTTCTCGCCAAATTGCTTACTAGTGTAATTTAAAAACCAAACAAGCCATCAAACATACTCATGACTATTAAACAGGCCTCAGCCCCTAGTTAATCTGTCTCACTTGAACTTTTGTTTGCATCCATACAGGATGGTGCTGTGATGGGACAGAAGGGAGGGGATGGAAGTGGGGAGGGAGGGGGAAAGGATGAAAGGGGGAGGGAGGGGGGAAGGATGGAAGGGGAGAGGGGAACAAGTGTTTGTACAGTTACAAGTGAAATCACAATTCATATCAATCTTTCACAAGAATTTTTTTGATGAACATGACCTTTGGATTAAAAAAACTACGCAATCATGTATCCTAGCTCTTATCTCCCATACACATATATTTATATGTGTACTTTTCTTTCGTTTCGATATATTTCCGGTTTCGAAGTACTAACCTGTAGAGGGGGTGGGTAAGATCGTGTAAAATATACACAGAATGCTCTCTTTCTATCTACAGAGCAAATAACTCAGAGAAGATAACATAATGTAAAGGACACACAAAAAAATCCCAACCAACAACTGCAAAAGCGAGAGTCAGCTGTTTTTTAAGCTTACCGGCTTGGAATCAATTCTATTCTCATAGTAATCAGGTCCCTTGAAATAGGAGAAGTCTGCTAAGATCTCGCCATATTTGTCGCGATCCTCTTTGGTTTCTTGTTTAAATACAGGAGGTATAAAGTCAGAGAGGCGCAAAAGCTCGGCAACGATGGCATTTCCACGGCTAACGAGCTTTAAAACAGTTTGCCCGCAAGCGTTGTTTTCTGCAAGGAAATCCACCATCTTGTGCTGTCATCATGTGACTAAAGCCTCAATTTATTCCCATAATGCCTTAGAAATTGAGAATTTCAAAAAATGGCGGCCACGGGAAAAGGCCGACTTTCCCACTTCAGATCGAAATTGGAGGTTTGTGGTCTTTGTTTACGTTTTCTTGATTCGAAAAACAACATTTAATAAAGAAGTCTTTGATTAACAGCTTTTTCCACCGATAGAAAGTTTTATTTCTTTTGTCTAAGAGGAACTTTCATCTTCCAAAAATGTGATCTCTGCTGTTTTGGTCTTGATTCTCAGGAGCTTGACTGCCCATATCTAGGTGGTGTGGAAGATTCGTGGATAGAAGAACTGTTGTTTAAACCTGGAGAACCAAGGTTGAGACTTTTGCAGTGGGCAATAGGAAAGTATGACGACAATTTCTGAATTGTTTGACCATATTTATGTTGGTTAATTATAAAGTGATACGCAGTGTGCATGTACTGTAGGTTCGACAATTAATTATGACCACGGTAAGATTTCTGCACAGCCCATACTCCACTAGGCATGCTGTTCGTGGATAAAAATTAACGAATAAGACAATAGAATGCGGAAATCTTACCATGACCACTAAAATGGAGACTACACTGTAGTAGTATTTACACAGTACAAGCAAACTAGTACATTTATAAGGGAGGAAGATCAAAGTGTGTCATCTTCCTTCATCATGCACATACAACAACCGGTGTAAAACTCTAAACATTCCATGTCTTTATGCTACAAAATACTGAAATTCACACCTATTGTAAGGCCTTTGACATATGTACACTGAAGCAACCCTAAATTGTGGAAAGGTTTACTTGATAAAGGAATGGTAGTTGCAAATGGAAAAGGTTTTCTAATTTGTGAGGAAGAGAAGTACATGTTCATGTCATCTATTCATCCCTTTTTTTCTCTTGTCCTTTATATCTTGTCGAATATATAAAAAAAAGCTGTTACATACTACGCCACTTTGCAGCCTTGTAAAATATCCACCTTTATTTACTTCCACTTTGGCAAATAATTGTAGGTCTTTTCATTGTAAGTTTAAATATTTACAGCTGTACATGTACATGTATGTTGTGGTCTTAAAATGATTCGTGTGAGAATGATTTTAAACAAGTTGGATGTGTAATTTCTAATTTTTATAAACTCCCTTTGACTCTTAAGTGTGACCAGCATCTAATTTCTCCATGCAAAATCACCCTTGATTCTCATAAATTAAGGTCATAAGAATAAAGGAAATGATCACCAAGCAAAGAAGCTCATGATTGTTACACAAATTCTCCTTGTTAGCACCTCAGGAAAGGTATAGAGAACAGTATGGAGAATATGCATGCTGATGTTAGGGTGTGCAGAATTAAAGGACTTTGGTAAAGTACAGTGTACATAGTAAAAAGAGGAAAACAATTAAAACCAGCTTGAAATATTTTTGACAAGGAATTTCTTTTAATCAAATATGCATTTATAATTTTCATCTGACTTTGTATGTTGGTTTTGTAATGTCACATTGTATCGGTAGATTTGATCCAGTCATATACAATATGTTGGAGAACCAGCAAAGCAAGGCTATGGGCAGAAATGACTCCAGAATGCAAAGTAAGTAAAGCTCTACATTTAAATTAATTGTTGTCTTATCCATGTACAGTGACTGAGGTGTTTTTAACATAGACATGTATCTAGTTGATTGTGATAGTGCATGTTTGTTTCAGATAGAAAAAAAACTGGTCATAGTGCCATTGCTACTCATGCTTTTTACTGGCAATAGATTAGCCTGCAATGCAGGTGTCTTAGTAGGAAAGGTTAGAGTTACAAGCTTGCAATCATTTGTGCAGTTGGCCATGTTTGATGTTGAGTTAGAATGGATAGTGAGAAAGGGGCAGGAAAAGATGCAAACAGAGTTTCTCAAAAGTACAATGATCAAGGGCAGGTGTGATTTCTATAACCCACCCCTCCCCTCTCCTTTCTTTTGACCATCACTCACCCTGTTGGTACAAATTTCTCTCTCTTCCCAGTCTTTTGCTGCTATGAAAATCAAAGATGGCAGCTTTAATTTTCAGCAAGAAAATATGAAGCATTGCTAACCAAAATTGTACCTGCTCTACAAACAAGAGTTAGATCTTATACATTTTACAGGTGGTAATAAGAGATAACTGAATTATTGTCATTATTGTTCTAATAAAATTGATTAATTTGAAAAAGCAAACATGTGATTTGTTATTCCTTTGTAGAGCTGCTGTTTGCATGTCACCTTATAGGACTCTGTAAAAGTGATGATATTGACCTTGTACAGGTAATTAAAAAAAGTTCCTCATTTATTTTCACAAGTCATATAGCAATGATACAAGTAACCAGTCAGTAACAAAGGGTTGCTTCAGTGTGAGAAGAGGTGAGGGCCTCAATTTCCTCAATTTCCTCAATTTTTTCCACTAACAAAGGGGTTATCCAAAACTTTAGGAAATATCTGACTGGGACTACATTATTTAAAAGTGTTGTGCATGGTTTTCAATCTGTAAGCAACAACAAGAAAGGAAATTTTATGTGTTCTGGAAAATTACTTGCAGATGGAAAAATGGGAAAGGTTGTAGTTGTTATGAGACTAAATATTGTAGATGTTGTTTATTAGACCCCTGGAAATACTAGAATTTTGATCTTCTGTTACTTGCTGTTCAATACAGGGTAACAAATCTAAAAACAAACAAGCAGTGTTCTGGGAAAACCTGTTAGATCTTGTTAGTATTGTTGAGTCATCAGGGCGGATTAGTCATTTTACCACCCCAGTGAGAACAGCCAGGTATGAATTTTCTATACAGAATAATGAGTGTAAATTAACCCTGTACTTCCATGAGTGACCATGAGAGAATTTCACCTCACAATATCAATACCATATCAATCAGACAAGTGATGAGAATAAAGAAAAATATCAATAAGGGAATTTTAGGTTGATCCAATACCATAATTATTATGTGAACTAAGAACAAAAGAATGGAATGGAATGGTAGATAGAAAGGAGAATTACTAGTGAGATCCTGGGGTGAAAGTACAACCCAATTAAGCCCATCTATACTACTGTAATATCTTTAAGCAAAGATGTCCTCTTAGCACAATTTTGGACTGCTAAAGGCTCATCTTCCAGACATCTGTGGTGCCCAGCACCTGAAGAATTTTTCATAAAGTGAAGTTATGCTGTGTACAAGGTAAACAGTCAACGAAAAAATTTAGTCACTCCTTGGCACCAGTCTCTTCCTGAGCTCTATCCTATCAACAAATGATGAATAAGTTTTTTCATCCATTTGAATACTGAATTCATTTTTTTAAAAAAAGAAATTCTGCCCAGAGATACATGCACGTAAAATTAAGTAAAAAAATTGTATATCACCACTTCTTTTCTTAGTTTACAGTCTGGAACTCACTTTTCTTTAGAAGAGCAATTTAGAAGTGACTGCTACTTTTTTGATGGTTTATGTCGTCAAGAAGACCTTCAGAATGTCTTTAGGTCAAAAGTTCAGCTTTATCCTCCTGATTTGATGAAAACAACATCTGGACTTGAGAACAAAAAGTAGGTAACATAAACATAACATGTGTTACTTGAAATATCGGGGTTGTGTATTTGCAGCAAAACTGTCTATGAAGAAATCTTTATCTCCGACGTAGCTTTCTGTTGAACTCTCTGAAGCTCTGACACTTGAAACATCAGCTTTAGACCATATTATCTTGTAATACCCACCTCTCCCACTGATGCAGCACCACAGTTTCTTTGGAAATGTACCCCACTTTGTTCATGTAGAAGGCCATATGGATTCTCCCATGAAAGTAAGCAAACTGATTGCTCCTTCACATGAAAATGAGAGTTCATTTCAGATGGAAACATGATGCACTTTTTTTTAATAATGGTGTTACACCTAACCTCTCCTTGATAACAGGGCTTAGGGCAACCTAGAAATTGCGTGCCATATTATTTGTTGCTCATCAGGGTGTGCTGTGAGTGATGTATACACCTGTTATCAACATTCAGATAATGAGGTCACGATTTCTATAGAGCATTTTGTTAAGATGTCAAAGTTATCATTAACCATCATGAATATTCATTTTGTTCAAGACCATTTTAAGCAACCATTCCAAAAGGTTATTCAGTCTTTCTTTAATGCATATCACATCATGTATTTAAATATATTTGTTGTTGGTTCTTTTTTTTTGTAATGAATAATAGAATACCTGATGAGAGGCAGTTGATATCAGTTACTGAAAAACTGGCATGTGAATTGGAAGAACAGAGCAAACAGCTGGATGAGTTGAGAGAGAGTGTATGTCAAGTTTTATGTACTGTTTTCTTACTGGTAATTACTTTTAACACTGGCAATTTACTGTACATGTATGCATCTCAAACTTAGGAATAATTTATCTATAGTTCTTGCATAATGATCAATCTGCTGCAAATTAAATTTGATTCAGAGGAAATGCCAAATACTAAATTCTTAGAATCTAGTAAATTTTAAAATTTGCTAAAAAATTGATGAGTCAATTTGGGAGAACTTGCATTTTTACTCATCAGGCTCCATTGTGTGATGCTGATACTGTTACAGTTGAGAAAGTGAGTAAGACATTATCACTGTCACTCACAACTATGGCTCAAGTTGTGTCTGGATTTCTTCATTGCTTTGAGACTGAGATGAAGCCATGGTGTAAACGCCCAGCACCTGTCTTGTCAGGTATACAAACTCTTCTTAGCAAGTGTAGTATTCATTGTGGTGGTTTCTTGTGATTATTAATTCAGAAGTGTTTGTTGAGGGTAGTGGTATCAGCTTTTATTGAATGAGTATTGCAGAACCAAAACTAAACTAAGCTCAACAGCCAGCAAAAAAAATTTGGATCCAATATGATTTGAACCCTCAAATAAAACAAAACAAAACAAAAAAATTGTGATCATATTCCTTTAAGACCCCTCTAACATTTGCCTCACTCCTAACATGCGGCTTTGTACATGTAGCTCAGTTGATAGTAACACATCACTGCTGGGGAAGCACAGTTTCCCAGATCATTGTTGATAATAGTTTATCAAACCCCTTTTCAATGCAGATTTTTAAGCTAGCCCTAAGCATCCAGGCTTCTATACTTTTCTTTTGTGTCTTTTGTGGTCTAACTGACTTATACAGTAATTTCCCTTAATCACAGAGGTTGGTCCAGCATTCAGCAGAGTTCATACTCTTTTATCAAGATACACAGAGGTGAGATTAACATAGGTAAACTTTTGATATACTTGCGTGGCTTATGGTAAAAGGTCAGAGCCTGAAAATAGATAGATTCCATCTTGCCGCGTGTCTGTTCAGTAATAGATCACAGACGGCGTCAAAATATGACATGAAAAAAAGAGTGGCGCACGAAGAACAGCCGAGTGTGTCACTGAGGTTCTTACTACATTTTGACGTCTTCTTTGTTGTATTACTGTATAGAACTACGTCAAAGTGGAAACAAAAATGTCTGTTTTAGGAGAAAAAAAGCAAAATGTTTTTAGTGGTGCAGGTGTCATCTATGGGTCTGACCACCAGTAGATCATAAGGAAGAACCAATCAAACTGCGAGTATGGTTCTGATAATCATAATTTCTTTTTTTTTTGGTGATTTTTTTAGCTCATTCAAAACTTAGGAACAATCAAGAGCTCATACGGTAAATTATGCCATGACAGTAAAGACAAAATATCTACAGGACAAAAAGACGATACAGGTAAGATGCTGTTGATGGAGGCAGGCCTTCTTAGATAAGTCGCCAGAACGACGAAAAGGTATCATAAGAGCTTATATTGACGCCTGAGGTATTCCTTCCCTCTTTGCTGCTCATTATTTTCCGCACAATAATGACATCCTAAATGTATAAATGTGCAAGTGTGCCGTCATTCAGGGCCTTAGCTTCACAATATCGGTTAACCAACGTATGTTTTGTCTTTTTCTTGCGGAGGTTTATCTAACGTCTCATTAATATCGCCACACAAGTTGTGTGTGTGTGTGGGGGAAGGGGAGGAAAGAAACGCACCAAACAATATATCTTTCGGTGCTGATACACTACTGATGCAATAAACAGGGTAAACCCAGTACATTTCGAATGTAAGGTAGGGTCCTATGGTTTTTGATAGTTTTAGTGTATAAGAAACTCTAGATGTCCCTAAAACTTAGCCTGATCCAGACGTTCATTCAGTAAAACGGGACGGAGTAGAAAATATGCAATAGTAGCGGCAGAACGAAAGCGATGGAAGTTGGGCCGGGTTGTGTTCCCTACGCCACCCAACCCAAACCTCCCTCGTTTTTCCCTCCTCCGCTGCTATCGCGACGTTTACTATCAAGCTTTGTTTTGCTTACTGAACGCCTGGAACAGGGTACCAAAAATCTAGTTATTACAGAAAGAAAATGTTACCTTCCTCTAGCATGTTCTTTCGAACCCTTTAATACCAAGGCAAGACATTCACACCAGCTCCACCGTACGTGATTGGCCGGAGCAAACAGTGCGCTCCTTGTCGTTGATTTTATAGCACTTGATCCAATAGAAATACGACACGTAATTAGTTCGATAGCCAATCAAAAGATTAAATCCGGGTTTTGCTTTCTTGGAATTTTTCCGTCAGCTTTGGTTCCCTGCATGTAAATATCAGTGATTTCAACCATCACTGGGAACTGAGTTCAACCGAAAATAGGAAAAACCTCAGGTCAGTATAATGAATCTTCTTTTTTACGACTTTAGGGTTAAACCCTGCAGAATTGAAATCTCTCCAGGGTTGTTTGGGTGTATTGGAAGAATCATTACAGCGACTCGAAGAAGAAGGAAAGTGACTTGTGCTGGCCGTGTTTTAAAGAAGCAATAAGAAGAGAAGAAGGTTATTTAGATTCGGATGGAGTATCGAACAGTTTTCGGATTGTTATGATAATTGCTCGGTGAAAACTGATGGGAATTGCTTGAAACAAATGCTCTAAGGAATTCTTGTCTACCAGGAAGAAAGTTCTTTGTCATTCTAAGGGTAAGATTTGTGGCGGATAGTGTATATACTACATGAAAAGGATATTTAGTGGTTTGTGTTGGATGAACATAAAATGCGCTTAAATTGAAAATTGAAGGCCTTTTCTTCAGACATGGATAAAATTTCCCACCTCACGGGCACGGACAACGGTCAGATGCCCGTGTGTTGTTCTGGAGGGGGGGTGTTGAAGCTTGGAATTGATCTGTACATTAATGCATGGATCCAGAATGCGCTTGAACTGCATAGTACGAAGGTGACATTTCCCACCGACTCGACTTGCTTATTCCCTTATCAATCGCCTTGTTTACTACCGAGCCTCTAAAACAGTTTTCAGGTTATTTTTGCATCCTTCGAACGCCTTCTAGATTCTTTTCATTAAATTCCCATTTACAGGGAAGTAGTATTGAGGAGGGTTTCTTGTTTTTCCTTTGACAGTAAGTATCTGAATATGATCCTTAAGTCTTAAGCACAAAACATTCTTTGAAAATCACTTATTAAGGATTATTCAGTCCTGATGTTATACAGAATTAACTCATATTATAAAACCTATAACCTATAACAAAAAAACTATAACCGTTTATTCTGTTGGTCAGAAACTATCACACCAGTTTTGATAAACAAAGTAACACTTGACTTCTAGAGGTGATTTACTTACTACCCTTCTCTCCAATTTTAATGTTTTACCCTGCAAACTGCTCATGAGAATGGACAATTAAGGTTTTTATCACACTTCAGTATTTTGCACGAAAGTTAATTTCATGAAGAAGGGAGAACTATAAGTCAGGGTTCAAAAACACCCTTACACATGGTCACAAAAAGGTGCAACTGATATACTTTGTCTTCTCCGCTATCGGTCTTGGACCCTGGACGAAACGGTTCACAGCTAATAAATTTAAGCTGGAGAAACTCCAGCACTCCTTGTGGAGAAGACGTATTCATACAAGAATGCCGCTATAATTCCTCCTGGTACGGGACCGACCCAGTAAACCTTGAAAGAGGGGGAGAAAAAATAAAAAAGCAAGTTGACAAAATTAGAAGCTGCATCTGTCTTCAACGTACTTACAGTGTATCTTTTAAGTTGAGCGCACAAAATGGACCCTTGAGAATTTCACCTTTTTTTTTGCTCGAAGTTTGGCCTGTCGCTATCTCCTTTTGGTGAATTGTGAAGCTCACCCCTCGCTCCTAACAAGTGGAGTTTCCTTAAGTCTTACCTTTTTTTCACCCTAAACAATCATCTGTACCCAATTGTTGGAAACTCGATGAACCAGTTCTGGTTAGCATCACTTTTCATGACGGTTGAGTTTGGGTCAGTGCTTATCTTACTACGAATAGCTTAACCTATTTGTTTCAAAACTGAGGCCCAAAAGTCAGTAGGGCTAAATGAGGCTGAACGAATTTAGACAGGATTAGCATAGCTTCGTAGAAGGTAGTTTTGGAACACACGATATTCTCCCTCGTTTTATCGACTTGCCGTAAGGAAAATGAGCAACTAACTTGTGCTCACAAACCAGACGTGATGGCAGATTGTCTACTGGGGGGAATCTTATTTTGATCTCACTGGTAATAGGAAGCAGGGGTTCATTGGCTTCTCGAGACCCCTCTCGGGAAGATTGTGGGTGAAACTCGCTGACCTCAGCTGTCCGGAATACTACTATTAAGGAGACTTCACATTTAATGTGATTAATGATGGTAGTAGGACCGAGTGGAGTCCAATTCGGTCTGTAATCATACGAGTGTTTATCAAAATCGGGCGATCGCGAAGCGGGAGTCCGATTTGTTAATCACCAGTATTGATTGATGGACGATACGAAGTCCTGTTAGCAATTAATCATAACTATGACAAAATATGAGAAAGAATGTAGACATTGGTGATACGTTTTCATTAAAAAAATACTTCAACAACAATAAACTTGGCGAAATGCGAGACAACAGCGCGCGCACATGACGCGTTCTGTCCACTTACACCGGCATGACGTGTTAACTGTCCCTCTAGCTGTTCTATTACACTGTCCAATTACAAGCATGACGCGTACACTGTCCTATTAGTGCGCAAATCGGGCTGGTGATAACCAATCACATTCGAGAATTTTGTTATAGTTTTGATTATAAGCTGATCAGACATCCTCTCTTACCCAGTGGTCTTTCCAGAAGTTTCTAATTAGGGCAGGACCGAGAGACCTGGCGGGGTTCATGCTGCAGCCAGTGAGAGGAATCTAAGAAAGAACACGAAGTAACCAAACGTTACTCATATTGCTTCGTTCTCGAAGTGAGGAGTGTTGAGTTAACCTTAACGGAAACCGGTCAGTGTCGACAGTTGTGGCGATGGTGATAGCTTCCATGATTTTAATAATATGCTAGCATGATTCTTTTTTTTTTTTTTAATGAACTTCCCCTTAAACAAGATAATGGGTCTTTTGATTTCTCTGCGTGCAATTGCAACGGCTAAAAATAAAACCAAGGTTCGTTCTGAATACCCCAAGTAAGTACTAAAAGCATGAGTTACCGCCCTAAACGAACGATGAGCGTTGCTTTCAAATAACAACGATTTTAAAGTCAAAGTTTTAAAGGACTTTAATTCATAAAGGAAAGAACACCGAATACAAATCTTTCGTCCTCAAATGACGATCTTCCACAACAACCTCCACGTTCAAGTATGTACGCTCGTGATTCTAAAGCTCAAACAAACGAACGTGACGTCACGCAATACTCGATAGCCCCTTCAACAAGAAGTATCTGAGTCACTTCCTCTCAAAAAGAGCTTTGTCAACTTCGTTTTTGGAGTCTATCTTCGTGCGAGCTATGCACAATCTCAGCTATGCAATGCTATGTCACATGGCGAGCTCATACCCATTGTAAAAATGGAAAGAAAAAAGTTTTATTTAAAATATTTCTACACCTACCCCGCACATGTGACAGATGAACACACACACTCCTATGGACAGCGGTATGTCGTATCCTCGAAGTTCCCTGCCCGGATCAGTAGCGGCAAATATGGTAAACACCAACACAAACGTGAGAAGGAGCTCCAGTCCAAAGGCTTGGCTAGCACTAAGGTCGCTACTGATTGTGGTCGCTCCCAGTGCCCCGCGCATTTTGCCAGGTGTCAGACCATATAGAAGTGCTGCTCCTAAAATCGCTGATAGAAAGAGACAGTTCAGTTATCTACGGTACTTCCAAAACCATCTGAGTGGAAAACAGACCACATGATTTGAAAAACACTGTAACAGACATGGCTGGATGTTTGGGTGTGTCGGCAATGTCAGCGCGTTTGCTCAGCCGTTGGTTGACTGACAATTTCTTTCAGTGAAACTAAGTATTAGCAACTGAGTTGAGAACGTAAATTGGCCACCGTAAAGAGTTTAAAAGCTAACGTTTCGAGCGTTAGCGCGTCGTCACTTCGTCAGAGTGATTAGAGGAGTTGCGGGTTGTGTTTGTGTTTATATGCAGAAAATGGTGCTACGCGTTGGTGGGAACATGGTGACAAGAAAAACAAGAATAAATAAGTTGAATGAAAAGCGCTAGTTGCCGATAAAGTGCCGATATGAAACATAAATTTTTGTTCTAAAGTTTTGCGGCTTTCCAAACTGCCTAGATGTAGGGGAAGGCTGCAAACTACCATATGTTGCTTAGAATGGTAAGGTAGATTAAATTGTCTAGCGACTGGTTTAAATGCAAATTATGCAATAGATGACATTGGCGGAGGTGCAAGTGAAGTGATCCGTGATCTTAATGGATCTCTTTGGTTCCGACATTTCCTCTACGTTGTGAATGAAAGGAAAAGTTTTGTATCGTGAGCGAGCGCATTTGAAAGCTTCAGGTTGGTCATTCGCGTTTGAATGAACTTATTGGAGGTTGCGAAAAGATGGCACAAGGCTTTGAATCGCTTTGAAGTAATTTAAAGTTTTTAAGAATGATAGATTTAACTACGTGGTTGTGAGGGTAAAATGTGAGTGACTGGAATGCGATGAGCATTTTCCTTCTGCGCCGTTTGTGGTGCTGAATGTCGATAAATTTGTAAGGCGCGGTGGTGGCCCGCTTCCACGAAAGAAACAGGATAGCCACGTTTATCGAAAAACTGGCACACTGTTAGCGGTTTTAGTGCTGATTGTCGATCAATTTGTTGGGCGCGGTGGTTGCCCGCTTGAACGACAGAAACAGGATAGCCACGTTTATGGAAAACTGGCACATTGCCAGCCGTTTTTAGTGTTGACTGTCGATCAATTTTTTGGGCGCGGTGGTTTGCCCACTTGAACGACAAAAACAGGATAGCCTCTTTTATCGAAAAACTGGCACGTTGTTAACCTTTTTTAGTGCTGACTGTCGATCAATTTGTTGTGCGCGGTGTTGGAAGGATAACCGCGTTTATTGAATAGTGGCACAATCTCTTTTTATTTCGTGCTGTTCGTGAGTTGGGTGCTCGTTCAGTTAGTGGATGGGTCTTGTTTTGTCAGTAAATGGCTTACACGCTGGTGAAAAGAAACGTTCATCGAGTTGGTTTGTTTTTCATCGGTGAGTCGGTTGTTCGTTCGTTTGATCGGTCACTGTTTTCATTGCTCGCTTACTCGTCCCTTTGTTCCGTCTTTCGCTTCTTCGTGGAGCAATCCTTTGTTTGTTCATTCATTCGTTTGTTCATGCTTTCGGTTCTTAAAAATTTTCGGTATCCAACCTTGCCCAGTCCTTAGAAACTTCAAACATCAAAACCATTATTTACGTCACAAGATACTGGCTCGAAATTTTGACCATTTTTTCTTCCATCTTTGATTGGAAATTATGGTCTTTCTTCTGTCCTCCGAGCAATTACTGAATGTTTATCAAATAATTTGCATGATAACTTTAAACATATGAACGTTTTCCTAAATTTTGTCTTTTGGTGGCTTTATTTATTTTTTCAAACACGATTCTATTTATTCAAGCTGTTTGCAAATGTACGGAAACGGAAATTTGCCCTTTTATCATAATTCACAACATGCGTTTGTATATGACGCTATTCTGCCATCGATGAAGAAATGGGACACGTTGTTGAGCAAGATAACGAACAGAAATTCAAAGATGCCGAAATTTTAACTAATCTCATGTCAAAGTGCAGTATTGTGCTTTTTGGCACGCTCTGAATGTAAATTGTAATCTAAGGAGTTTGGCAAATTGCATACGAACGCTTCTGATTGGTGCTTTAGCGGGAGATCCATTTATAGATTGGAAAGATACCTTTTCTGTGATTTGTGAGAGCTTATGTTTTTTAGTGAGATATATATTGTCTGTGACATGGTCGTGAATTAATTTACATTCGGCGTGGAACAGACCTGAAGTCCAAGAAACAAAGTGGCATACTCTCTCGGTGAATTTACAAGAGAACTGTGTATCCTCAACTTTCCGTGATCAAATGGAAAACATTTATTAAACGTATCTATCACTGACGTCAAAGCGTTACCGTCGAAATTGACACTAAATCGTTTTCTATTTAAGGGAGGATGAAGAATTTAAGATGAATGATAACTGTGTTCTTCCCATGTTTTCCCTCGAGTTTTGAATTCACCGTCTCCGGCTCAACGAGGTAATTAAATTGGTTTTCGCCAAAACTCAGAATCCACTGTAAGCACAATGTAAACACACGACGGAAACAGCCTATCTGATATTGAAATGTCCTAAATTACCTTTTGTTTCACCCGTCTAGCTAAACTGGAGATGAAATATGAAGTATTTAGTTCGGCAAGTAATTTTGTGCTTTTCAATCTTTCATTACTTCTCTTCTTTCATTCAATAAAACCATGAAATCAATGAATCACAAAGTATGGAATTTCTTCAATTTGGAATTTTTTATCTCTCTGCTTTCTATCCTTTCAAAATTCAAGGAGCCAACTCGTGAGCGATGTTTAAATCATACAACTGAAGATGAACTGAACCATAACCTCAGTCTTCATTCCATTGATAAATCGATTTGTGTTAAGTTGAGGTACTTAGGATTTTTTCATTTCTTCGTAGGAAACATTGCTGCCATGGCTTAACCTCTTGCATTCTTTAATCTGGTTAATGACTGGAGTCTTCTGTTTTTTTAAAGATATGCTCTTAAGGCCCGGCAAAACGCACGCAATATTTTACAACATTGTTGGATCGTGTTGTGAGATGTTGTTTACAGCCCGACAAAAAGATTTGCCGAGACCAAAAGCTTTTGTGAAGCCTTGCCATAAATCAACTCCGTATGCTCAGTGACAGATTTTTCTTTCTTTCTGAAGGTTACGTATTATAATTGTTGTCTAGAACCCAGATAATTGCACGAAATCCAAATGCATTCTTTACTTCTGAAAAAGGGAAAACATGTCTTTTTTACTATAAACATTTTTTTAAATCTAAAAGACGCAAAAGGACGTTCAACATTTTGCATCAAATTTAAAGAGGGCTTCTTTGTATTCTTTTCCAGTTGCTCGTTCGTGAATCTTTTTAAGTCAAAACACTCCGACGCGGAAGTTTCAAACGGAGGCTTATCTTTTATAATTTTATTAGACAGAGCATCGCTTAGTCTTAGAAGAAGCGTAGAAACCTTTTTTTTTTTTTTTGATATTACTACTATCAAAAAAAAAAAGCTCGTGATTTTACACGATAACTTGAAACCAAATCCGATTTTTTGGCCGGTTCTCAGTCCGTTATTTCATCCTCGGTAACTTGATTCCTTCTGTAAAAGTCAGGCATGTTCTATCTGATTTAACGATGCGACGATGTACTCGCATTGAATTTGTTTTCAATCAGTCAAGAAATCTTCCTGTTTTGTCTTTGCATCACGCACAAGGAATATCCACCCAGTGCAGGTTTTCTGGTTTAGGATGCATTTAAGTTATGGTGCATTGTATTTCTGTACAGTTTTGCTACTCAGCTCCTTCTTCAAAGCGTTCCGTTTTTGTTCTACTTTCCAATACTATAATACTGAACATTTTGATACAAACATATATTGTTTTAACAGAATTATGATAAACACCGATGTTTTTCTTATGTATGGTCCTCACTCATTAACTCCCCATGGCTCGAATCTTTTTCAATTTTCCTTGAAGGTTCGAATTACCGAGAGCCGACTGAATTTCTAATAATCGTCAGTATACCTACCTCCAAGAAATTGCGCGACTATGTAAAACACTCCTTCTAACACCGAAATCTTTTTGGTAGCCATTAGCGCAGTTGTTAGCGCGGGATTTATAAGGCCTCCCGTTAGATGTCCTGTCGCCATCACTAATGTCGCCACAGTTAGACCTGCAGTAAGCGAGACATGCAACACAACGACCGTAGCGTCCCCTTGCACGGTTAGCGTCGAGCTGCTAACCGCAAAAACAAAAATTGTTGTCGCTAAGAACTCTGCCCCAACGCATGTCCAAAATTTGCGCTTACGGAGCGCGAAGTCTGTCATGGCCGATCTACTAAACGCAGTTGGCTATACAGTTTGAGTTATGTCTCAGGTTTCCCTGCGGTTTATCATAAGACTCTTCATGGTCACGTTCGGATTGGGTGTTATTTTAGTTTTTGCTTTGTTTTCTATATAAATTAAATCATTCTCTTGTTTTAAACATAAACGTTTTTCTCCTTTCAATAAATCTCCGTCAGTTAAGAGAACTCTCTTTGTCACCTTGATATTTTCGTTTCCGTAATTTCGAATCAATCAAACTAACCATCAATAATTACGAGTTGACATAGCATATATTTTCTTTTTATAGAAGTCAAGATAATTTTAAATTCTTAAACTGAAATGTTTATGGTATATTTGCGATCGCTATAGAAACGTTTGTCAGTGTTGGTTTTTCAAAGCAATGAAGTTATGACTGTTGATAATTTTGTGGAAGGAAATACGTTCTCCAACTTTCTCTGTCTACGGTTTGTTTTCTAGTATATTGAAGCCCGCGTACTGAGCATGGTATAAAGAAAGTGCAGGAAGGTAATGAAAATAACTAATGTTTCTGTACGAAACTGCACACAGATTCTCGATGGTTTAGCAAGGACATGCGTGATAAAAGTTATTGTGGCTGAGTTTTTTATAATTTTTTTTTTTTATAATAATGGTAGTTGCAGCGGCTGTATTGTGTTTCTGAAGGCATGGTTTGAATTAATTACTTTCCAAGGGGCTTTTTTGACCAATAGTCAAATGAAATAGGTATGAGAATTGTACGCTTTTTACAGGGTAAGTCTAAATACTCGTACAGATGCAAACGCGGAAAAAAGGAGAAAATTAGCTTTAGAACCGTTTTTGAACTTTACCTGTTCCAGGCGTTCAGTTAGTGAAAGAAAATGGAGCGAAATAGTGACCAGCGCGATAATAGCGACAGCGCGAAAACAAAGGAGTCTTGGAGGCTTGGGTCGGGTATCGTAGAGAACATTGCGCAACTCGACCTAAGCCTCCCTCGTTTTTTCATTCCTCCGTTGCTATCGCGCCGTGTACAATCGTACTTCGTTTTACCGACTCAACACCTGGAATAGGCCAGTACAAACTTTGCTTAAAAAAGATTATCTTCTTGGCAGGATATGCCAACCCGTTGGCCTTTAAGGTATTTAAGCTAAGGAACTACAGAGAAATATATGGGGGGAAATTAAGTCTCTTGCCGACCCTAGCATCTGCGCAACTGCAGATGCCTCGCGTGGTCTCACAACGTACAAAAAAACGACTCATGATACACGTATGCGTCTGGTCATTTCGTAACAGATGAGTTGCTTTGATGGGACAAGTCTTTCTCTCAGGATAACTTCTTCCTAACTGAAGACTGAGAACCAAAGATTGAAAGCTTCAATCTTTTTCTGAGCTTTTTCCTTCGTATACATTGGTACTACTCAAAATGTTTTCTCCTGCAAAAAAAACTTTGTTTCAGACAAACTCTTCATGAAGTTCCAAAAAAAAATCTAACAGAGTTAAAATAGCAACATCTAAAAACCTTTTACTTTTCTAATAGTGCAGGTAAAGCTTTTTTTTTTGACGCTTTGAACCATATCTCAATATTCAAGTTGTTTTTTTTCAGATAAGTGTACGCCTAAAAGGGGTTAATGTTTTCAAAACTTTTCACTCTAAGGTGTGACCCAAACGTAATTTCTCCTTGCAGATGTTAATACATTATTTTGGAGGAAGGTGTGAGGAACAAATATCCACAAGTCAAAACAAGGGGTTCTTCTGATTTTATTCCAATCTCTCAGAGCTAAAGCTATGAGAAATAAAGTGGCAAACAGTGCAGAGAATTTATAAGAGGATCTTAGGAGTAAAAGGGCTCATCTAGATACATGTAAGCAGGCGAGTTCAGAGAGCACTTCACTCAGATTTCGTATCCACTTCCAACTAATTATTTTATCTAGTTGGGACCGACTGAGACCGCTGATCAATTACAAAGGGGAGATCATAAACTTCGATGTATCGTTGTCGTTGAGTTCCACATTGTAATTATCATCTTCTAAAGTGTTTTGGTTGTTTCTCCTCTGGGCGAAAAACAGCTTGTAGGTGCACGTTGCCAGGAGACCGCCGAGAGTGGGTGCCACCCAGTAAATCTGTTAAAGCATAGGAAACTATGAGTTGGTTATTTTCAGTGCACATAGCCACCGAAGACTTGAACTTACAGAAATACTCGATAAAGTAGATTGAAGATTTCTTTTTCGATTAAGTAGAAAAGCGCTGTTTTTCAGCTTCAAGCTTCTCTTCTTTCAAATACTAGCCGAGTGCTAGCTACAAGTTGTGTGGAATCGTCGAGAATTTCAGAGAAAAGAGCTTCAAAAATATCAGACTACAATGACTACAGGATGTCAAAATTATATCCCGAGCGGGAAACATTTCAATATATAAAAGGTCACGCGATTACTTATCAGCTTATCACAATCGTCTGTCTGTAGAGCAACGGAAACCGCAGGTGTATAACAATATTGTCTCTCTTCACTCACCCTCCCCACTTAGTGATTCGCGCGCTGCTCGTATGACTTAATTAAACTTCTCTTTCTTGCGTGTAATCGCAATCTTAAACTATTTTCATCTTTTTACTATCTTGCGTGGCAAAGTTTAGAAGCTGATCCTAGCACTTCTTCGAGTTTTGCGGGAGGCAGATGACAGTTGATTTTCTGCTCTTAATCTAACAATTGTATTTATTACGCAAAAGAGAAGTCGTTGATAAATCATTTGCCGCCCTTCTAGGATTGACAGCCGAGAAGATTACTTACCCAATGGTCTCTCCACAAATTCATAACAACGGCAGGACCAAGAGAACGAGCTGGATTCAAGCTGGCTCCAGATGAAGGAATCTGCAATATGAATCAGTGCAAGAGTTATGCGTGTATTTCCTTCAAAGTCTTCAAGATTTTGAAAGGCCTTTCTCTTCTTACATTCCTTACAGAAGCTAAAAAACAAGTCAAGCTCCGAGAAGTTATGGCGATTCTTGTTCTCTTAGTCGCTCAGGCTTTGATAAGACTTATCTTCCCTAGTCTTCTACTATGACATACGCATGTTGGAGCTGTTCCTCACCCCATGCATGAGACAAATGAACACACAAATCCCTATGGCCAGCGGTACCCCATATCCTGCCATGCCCCTGTTGGGGTCGGTCGCAGCGAATATCACAAAAACCAATATGAAAGTCAGCATGAGTTCCACTCCAAACGCCTGCGCAGTAGAGACACCATTTGAAGGAGCTGTGACACCCAGTGAGCCAATAGAATCAGTTGGGGTCATGTAGTAAACTATAGCTGCTCCACAAATAGCTACAAAATAACAGAACATCGAGAAATTAATCAGATGGACTATCATTTCGAGATATAAACTGTTATGAAGCTGTGTCAGTTTTCAGCCGTCTCTGTGTTATGACATTGTTTAGCCGATGTCTCTTCTTTGGCTATTGTTGTAGTTTTAAAGGGGGTAAATTTATCAGGAAACTGTGGTGCTGCGTCGGTGGGGGTGGGGATGGGAGATATTTGGTTTATCAACTGAGTTGATAATATGAATTGGCCACCACAGAGTTTCTGAAGCTAAAATTTTAAGCGTTAACCGTTCGTCAGAACGAAAGACAGAGGGCTAACGCTCGAAACGTCCCCTGTTAAAGTTAGTTCGTTTTAAAATTTGGGTGGAGGAGCCTTCTCGTTAGGTCTTTGGTAAAGGCCGCTTGTAACAGGTGACATTTAAGTGAACTTTTTCGGCCTCTTGAATTTATCATTTAGAGAGTGCTGGGTAAAAATTGAGTCAGCTCTCACTTAACTTCCTCTTTCTTGTATTTTTCCAAGCATAGAGACACCCGTTTGATGTCAAATGAGCTCCGCCTTCTCCATGTGCGTTGTTAGGTGGAATTTTGGAAAATTTGCATAACCTGTTGGCCGGCTGTGGTAGAGGGCCGCCGAAACCACAACATGTTTTTACATTTTCCTGCTCCTCTATCCTATACCCCATTCACACTAAAGCTTTAACAGGTTTTAAAGCTGTTTTCTTAAACATAATTGTTTTTCTTTTCTTCGTAAAGGCTGCTTGAACCGATGTTTGACGACTTCAAATGTAGTACATTGAACATACAAGTTAGTGACTACTAGAATCTTATGGAAAATTCGATCTTTCAGCTCTCTGTTTTTGAGTTTCATTCAGTTAAATCCCGTTTAACTAAACGTGTTTTGCCGGTGTAAATGGGGTACTCTTTTAGCTAGTCTGCATAAAAACATCATGGGACGGATGTTGGACATTTGCCCTGAGCCAAGATTAAAAAGTTGCCTATTGAACGTCAACGTGGCAGCGGCAAAGTGGGTTTCAAACAGAAAAATCATTTCTAGTGAAGAAAAAAATAATTTAAAAAATAAAACTTATGTGCTTTGTTTTCGAGTAGGATTAATCTAAATTTGCAAAGCCATCATTTTATGAAAAGACGATCTCAGTGGCAATTTGTGCCATTTTTGATAACCGAAGTTGTTAAAATGGGTCTCTGAGCTCTTCTAAAATTTATTTTGCAATATATGAAAAAAGTTAGTCAGTGTAGGCTGTTATTCGAATAAGATTAATTTATGGGCAAAGTTTAAAACGTCGATGTTTTGATTCGAAAAGCAGCTTTTACAGAGACTTCTAAAACTGTAATGTCGTGTATGTTTCGACTTAATCATATTCCGGCTTGATTTTACCCTCTTGACGATTGTGTGCGAAAAGTCAAAGTTTTGTCACGCTATTCCTAAAATATCGACGTGTTTCTGTATGAAATAGATATGTCGCTCAGAGCATTGCGCCCTTTTCTTTCACTGACGTATCATTAGAGAAAACTTAACAGAAGTTCTTCCTTTCGTCAGCAAAAACTGATTGGGCTGTAAAATTGTGTATTAGATGTGAAGTTCTTAATTTTATCATATGTTCCGGTGCCTTAGCAGTGTTAATTAAGTTACCGCATGAGTGATTGTGGCATGTTATTGATTTGAATCAAGGCTGAGCAATTTTCCGTCATGATCTCAAGACTTTTGCATTTTTATTTGAAAGCACTACATTCGGTAAAACGACAGCCCAACTTTGCCTTATTGCCAGGAGGTTTGTGGGGCTTTAAAACATTTTCTTCCCTTTAAAACTTGGTCGACACAGACCCATATTGTACTTCAGGGTTTAGCCTATTAGGAATCTCTTTTGAACCTTGTGATTTTATGCTCAAAGCTGATAGAGACGAGGCGGCCAGGCGGAGGTACTTATCTAGGCTTATCCGCCGAGCAACAAACGCACGAAGGCCAGCTCGCAGTATATTTGTGTCATATCAAAGCGATAATAGACACTCCTTGCATATTTAGCTGAAGAAAGTGATGCTTAAAGTCGGTAATAGCCGAAGATAAAAAAAAAACTGTGTTTCAGGTTTCTCTGACCGTGCGCAATCTCTCAAAAACTCTCTAATGATCGGATACGAGTTAATCTTTTTCTACACTTTTCCTTCAAACGCTATTTGGTAAAAGATCTCGAAACAACTTTGGATATTACGATGTTTCCTTTCATAAGATCAGTCATTTCCTGACCTTCGCTTGAGTGATTGCATAGCGCAAATTATTCCCACAAGGGTTGTTTTCATTGTTTTAGCGCGTAAGTGATTATTTGTTATTTTTTCGTTCATTACATTCAGTATAGTAAAAAAAAAGTGACTCGAAAGCAGCTTGGTCTGATCTCCTCGCAAAATGTAAGAGTATAGGCGCAAAATTTCTGTGGCAGTTCCACCATTTAGCAGAACCACTTATATAATCTAATAGAACGACCGGATTAAAAATTCTTAAGGTAAACGTCATTAGCACTCTGCATTGTCACGATATGACTTTTGAAGGGTTACCGTTTCAACTTGACTCACAAAAAATGGTTAATAACATAGGTGATTGAAAGCTTTGACTAAATCCAGCTGTAAGCAGTTTAGCCGATTGATCAATAGGAGTAGATATGTGGTTGGAGGGGGCGTGAAGACCTTGCGAAATCTGTGATCCCTTGCAGCTTGAAATGTTAAAAGCTGCTTTCAAATAAATTGAAAATCTATTCAGTTCATTTCAAACGCTTTAAACCTTATATCGATCTTGCTCTAGAGAAGCGCTAGAACAAACATCCATATGCATACTTACCCAGTCTGCAAACAGTGTCAATTACACCTTACCTCCGGCACACTGGGCAATAATGAAGAACACAGCTTTTAAGACTGAGACCCTTCCAACAGCCATCATGCTGATGGTCACGGCTGGGTTGAGCTGTCCGCCCGAAATGTGAAACACCGCCATCGCTAAGGTCGCTATACTTAGTCCATGACTGAAAGCAATGTGTATAACGGATGGTGGAGTGTTATTCCACGGTAACACTGTGCCACAGACCATGAACAGGAACAGAAGTGTGGCCAAAAATTCCGCGAAGACTTCGGTCCAAAATTTGCGAGATCTAAACTCCATTTTGCCTTCACTGAGATACATATTGGAGCTACTTGTTCTTTTCAAGAGTTAAAGAGAGACCGTCTCTTGCCTACTAAGTATGACGAGAATTACCGTTGATGTTTGATTGACTTACACTAAAAACCAAACATCACCTGATCACATAGATGAATAAGGCGGGATTCTCGGTAGAGCTTGTAAACAATGCTTTATTGTGTAACCAAGCCTGGTTATTTGAGGTCGGAGCGCTGAGCGGGGTTTGTTCCCTTTTTAAACTTCATTGAAGTAAAAAACGCATGCATAGCACAAAGGAACGTGCTACAGAAACGAAAATTGTAGAAGGTACTAAAGAATCCATCAGACCATCAAATATGAAAGCCGGCAAGATCAATCGGTGGACGCTGACCGACCAAGCGCAATTCTACATGTATTGAGTGGAAAAAATTGCGCGAATGTTTCTGGCGGTCAGATATTTCAAGAGAGTTGGAATGCCTAGAAGATTCTGCGATCAAGTACAAAAAAACCACAAAAATCTAAAAAAAAAAACTCTCCTCTCTTCTTGACTGCCGCATTTGTTTAAGACTCAAAAATAACTTGACGAACGGGTTTATGTCACTTCCTGGAGGTCGTTAAATCCTAAGTGGGCTTTTATCAGTGTGAGAAAAGAGAAGAAGAAAGAAACAACTGTGAGTGAAAATAAAATAACAAAAGACTCAAAAAGCAGGAACTAGACCGGCTGTATTGCGATAGGATTATCAGGAGAAGTGATATTGATAACATTGATAATTTTAATAATGGTGATAATGATCGATGATAATGATGGTGATATGGGCAGTGATAATGATGATAATGAGACCAAAAAACCAAGCAGAAACCAAAGCAAAAAAATAAAAGAAAAAACGCATAACTGAAAAAAGTTATTTTTACCACAATTGGAAGTAATGTCATAATCTGATTGGCCACTTTGCCGTTGTCGATAAGAGTACAGACAACGCTGCTTGAGTCAACATGTCACGCAATGGTCACGCACTGAAAAAATCGTTTTAACTGACGTTGATATTGCGGCAAAAAACAAATCGACAGTGGTTTATTGTGGTGTGTACTCTATCGACAACGATATTCGTCATCACAGTAGTGAAAATGCTGTGGACTCACGAGGCGTAGCTACTTTCGATTCGTTTAGCAGAATGCAAGGTTCGACGAAAAGTTAGCGACTCAAGATTACAAAATTAGCGTCCGAACCTAAATGCTTATCATTCACCAAATACACATCCCGCAGAACTTTTGAAATTTTTATTTTCTTTTTCATGAATAAAGTATATGATAATGAAAGACGTTAAAAATGTCTCAAAATCATGATATTTAAACATCAGGCAAGGTCGTAAGAGGCTGGATGTATATCAACTTCGAACCCTAATTAAGCTTATTACCCAATCAAATAACCTTATTCTTCACGTGAAAAACGTAAATGCACAACCCTTGAAGCTCCAAAAAATAAAACATTAAAAACTTTCTACCACAACTGCTTGTCAGTAAGTTATGAAAGTATTATTAAAAAATTGGTAACTAAAGATAAAATTAGGCTTGCAATGGGAATATTGCCTTTCGTCATTCACAGGTCTGACTGGTAATTTTCCTTTCCTGTTAATTTCTTCGTAAGGTAGAAAAGAGAATTAGGTATTACAAACAAAAACTAACTCTTAAGTATTATGTCTGTCTTTGATAGATGTATCGACGTTGCAAAGATAAGTTACTTGAAAATCACTTCTGGGAATTAAAAGTCCATCATCCTCTGGAACCTTTCCTCAAATGACACTTATGAATGTGCCTGTATATATTTTGAAAGTGTAACAAATCGCTAAAATCTAGCTACCAATGTTAATTCAGTTACTGACAGATTCTAATCAATCCCAAGGTGCTTGTCCAAGGTTTACAAAATAACACGACAAGCGTGAAAACATTCTTGCTTTGTGCAGTACAAAGATAAACACTTCTCAGGCCAAAACGCAAGCAAAAATGTACGTTAAGTCTTTGTGATAGAATTAAAAAATGGCTACCTAAACTTTTTATTCTAGTGCGCATTAAAATAATCGTTTTTCGTTAAAAAGGCCCCTTCGATATTTATATTGCTAAATCACTGCTGTTCTCCTCATAAAAAATTCTCATAAACATGACTACCTAAAGCCCTTTTGGTACTTTTGCGCGTAGAAATGAATCATTCTTCATAACAAAAAAGGACCATTTCATATTGATTACAAAATCACTTATGTTAATTTCTTTATTAAAACTCTAATAGCAATACTTGGTGAAGCTACTTTGATACAGGCCACAACCTTTTAAAAGCTGAATGAACATTGTAAATAAGCGTTCTACAGGAAAGTCGCGTTATAAGCGATGATAATACTCCTTCACAGTTTAGATCTTGGAATCTTGATAGTTGTCCAACTCATTCACAGAACCAGCCGTTGGGCCTTGTTCTTGCCTCGTTCGAAATATCACCTGATACAGAACTGCTGCAATTAAACCTCCTCCAATTGGACCAATCCAGTACACCTACAAAAAAAAAAAAAAAAACGTGAACTCCAACCATGAAAATCTCCTACTCCGTTCGAAGGTGGCCTCGTACACCTCCTTATTAACTCCGCAACGAGCGGGTTGTCCTCTCTTGGTTCGCAATGCGTGCAAGATGATCCATCTCTTTTACTATTATGATTTACAATTTAATATTTTTCTCTCTTACAATTATTTCCTATTTCTAGTTGAGTGGCCACAAAGACTTTAGAGACTTTCCTGACTTTCATTTGCTCGCCATGCAACAATAAAAACAGTGTTCAAAGGTTAGGCTTTGTTCATTTTATACATTATTTTGATAAAATGCCATGCTCCACCCTAGGCGTTCCATAAACACTCTAAGAAAGAAACAAGCGCGAATCACAGAGGACCGGTAAACAGCGCAGAGAAATCCCTCTCTCACGAGGCCCTTTTAGCGGAGATACGTTTCGATACTGGACAGAATGATGGTTACAGGCACTGTTACCTACCCAATGGTTTTCCCAGATTTTGGAGGTATTCATGATGACAGCTGGACCAAACGAGCGCGCAGGATTAATGCCACACCCTGTAAAACCAATCTGAAAGAATAACATGGAGTGTCAGTAAAGTAAGCTGGACCAGACTAAACGCAAAAATAAATCTTTTGCAACGAACGTCCTAAATCAAGCGATACGAAGACACCATCCTTCCACTTACCCCAATGAAATGGCACACGGCCACGCAAAGGCCAATTGACAGAGGGACTTCGTATCCATAATGATTCCTCTTCGGGTCAGTACTCGCGCACACAGTGAAAACCAGGAGGAATGTCAGCAAGATTTCAATACCAACTGCTTGACCTGCGGTCACTCCGGGACCTGGGACAGTGGCGCCCAGTGTTCCGCGTTTTTCTTTTGGTGTGATGTATTTTAATACCGCTGAGCCTATGATACCTGTTATAAAGAAGAGAACAAAAATGCATTGTTCTCAGACTTCAGTGAACTCGATCTTTATCTTAATGCAGAGGAGAATTTTCAAAACAAAGGTATTGACTTCCATGCTGACGCATCTTATCAAAAATGCAAATGCAAATGATATGACGCAAAATGTTTTTAATGCACGCATATCAGTCCTGAACACAATCTTTACAACTAAGAGTGCACGAATTTTTATACTTTCCCTGCATTGGCACGTACGTCTTAGGAATAACTATGTAGGCAAACACGCAGTTAGGGCACATTTACATAATTGCGTCAGTGTAATGAAGTGTTGAGGGCTGTGAACCATTGCCCACCTCCGGCTATTTAGTTACTCCAGGGGGGAGTAATTTATCGGAAGTATTAAGAATGGATATACAGCTTCTACACAGCAAAAGGTTTAAGTTCAGATCGCAGTGCACTGATGTTTTGCCTACGCATCGAAATTTCCTGGTTTTTAGACTGAACTGTTTGAGGGTCACAGCCTTGTTATCAAAACACACCTATGTGGCCTACCCACGATAGTAGCTCTCTCTTCGCCACTTCCCCCCTCCTCAACTTCGCCATATTTAACACATAAACGATTTTTTAATCTTTAGCTGCCATGACTTGGAGGCCGAATTATTACTTCCTTTGCAGTTTTAAATTAAGCACTTGACTATATCTTAAGTACTTTTTCACACCTTATCAAAACTTACAAAACTTGTCCACTTGTAAAACTCATTACGAAAATGGAAAACATTCAACAATTGAAAAAAAACCACCATTGATAAAATTTGACCTTCAAAATGGCAATGTCTCCGTTAGGAAAATTAACTGCCAACCCTGCTTCTGCTGGGTTCAACTTGAATCATGTCAAATGATGGTTTAACAACAAAAGACCTCAGAGGATGACAAATTACTCTTTTATAAATGTTTACATTTATCTGAATATGCCTGGGAGGAGAATTATCCAAAGGTATATTTATATATATTTTTTCTATTGTTTCAACTTGATCGAACTTTCATCCAACAGGAAAATAGTAATCATTTGCATTGATGGTTTGCGCTGGTGTTCCCATTCGACACCTTTTTTCTGGCAACTCGAACTACTTAGAATTTTTTTAACCTGTAAGCAATAAGTAATAGTCAAATGGTAATGACGCAGCCCGGTTTTTCTTTTTATTTCACGGTGTGGAACAAATTGAGCTCCAGAAAGTACACGAACATTTCATACTCGACATGCATTGTATTTGACAGACCTGACTTTTTTAGCTGATTGTACCTCCCTCGTTACATCAGTGTTATTTACGAGCTACGAGCTTGCGGTTGAGTGCTAAAAGCACTTGAAATTTACTCACGTTCGTGCCTATCGAAGCATGTGAAGTCGTGTGTGCAACAAAGAAAGCTTTCTTAGTAGAAAACATTCTAGACATTTTTCGAATTTATTGCCAACATGTTCTAGCCAAATACCTGAAATATTGTAAATATGCTTTACCTTCCGGAGATTTTCACAATTGATGTATTATTTATTACGTAATCTGTTGTGGCAGTGGCCAAAAATGCTCAAACCTCTGCCAAAGTGAAACGATTTTGCTGAATGAATTAAGTAGCACTCTAGTGGTTTTACAGGCAATTGATCCGCGTGCACGCAAGGTATCATATGACGTATTAGGAAGTCTTGGTACGTGTACTTGAGATAACATTGATCGAATGCCATTTGGCCAATTTCTTTGATCCAATGTAATATATTGGAAAGGCACCAGAAACGTGTCGGTTGTATTGTATCTTTGTCGCCGTTTCCCCGATGTTAATTAAAAACTGCCACCGAACTGAAAAGACAGTTATCTTTCCTTGCAATTGGAAAATTAGCAATCGACAATTTCCTTAGCTCTAAGTTTTCGGGTGTAACAGTTTTGCGATGGAGCCATTTTCTCTACGGATAGTCATGGCAATACTTCTATTTCGGCTTAGGAATAGCGTTTGTCGTATTCCTTTCTGCCCCGAATGAGTTTTTAATCTTTCGATTCATTGAAGCGTGTGTAAGCAATAAAAACTAGTTTCGTAGCAAATATCTGCTTTGCTTACATCTCAGAAACCTGGCGAAATAACGAGTCATTTCCATAGTTATGGCCATTGCTTTTTCTGGCCTTTGATATCTAGTCGTTGAGGAAGGTATTCCCTTTCTGCATCTATCACTGAGAAATTTAGGTTAAAAAAAGTTGTTTACACTAAGGCTAAGAGTTGCTTTTAGTGTTCTCACCTCCGACAATTTGAAAAATTACGTAAGTTATCCCTCGAATGACTGACACTTTTCGAACGGCCATCATGGCGATGCTAACAGCGGGGTTGATATGCCCGCCACTGAGGTGTAAACTACACATCGCCAGGGTTGCAATGCTCAGTCCGAAACACAAAGAAATCAGCTCTGTCGACGGAGGTTGCATCGGATTCCATGTGATGGTTGTACCAGTTGTCAGGAAGATGAAAAAGAAAGTTGCGATCAGCTCTATCAGGGCGCTGGCCCAAAAGTGACGGCTCTTTAGCTCCGACGTTAGCATCATCGTGGCTGATCTTCTCTCTTGCTCTGCTTGAAATCGTGTCCAGCTCAAAATGCTCTGTGTGACTATCTGGCAACGCTTCAGAGGTCTTGGCCTATTATATGTTTGTTGATATGCTTGCGTTCTTTCAAATCTCTTGTTATGGAAATTAGGCACTAATAGCGGTATAGAAAGAACTAGAAAGTGTCAAACTACTTCTACGCGCAAAAGTGGCATTTTAAACCTCTATGTAATCTCTGTTCCTGAAATTAAAAAAAAATTAAGCAAAACGCATTTAAAGGTAACCAAAAATACCTTTGAAGGCCTTCATTAAGGAAGCGTAAAATCAACTTGTAGCATCCAATTACCCAACAGTGACCAATGATTCAATTCTCCCTTTTTTAATAATGGTAACAAAACGAACAGGTGGTGAGAATAAAGAAACTGATAGACAAACAAGGAGACATTGTCCACAAACGTCGTATGTGATTACCAAATACCAAAAGAAAAAAAAAATACTTGATACGTCGCGCCCGGAATTGGTTAATTGAGTTTCGAGCCATGCTCAATAACGCTGGACTGCAGCTGGATATTACTTGTAATAGAAAATGTTGTTCTTCATGGTGGTTATATAGATACAAATGAACGTCTAATCGTTTTCTCGCAATGTATAGAGACAAGCTATCAATTGTATTAATCGTCGCCTGTCTAAGATAAACAGTATAGTAGTCGAAACCTAGCGATCAATACAATTGATAAATACTCTTTGTGGGTTGGCAACCTTAAACTCCAGCAGCTCAGCACATAATTGTCTTTACCTAATGCTAATTTTATCCATACTTAACAGTACTCGATGGCTTTATTCTCTAAGAGAATAGAAGAACAGAAGAAATTGAGTCAAACACTCTTCATGTCCATGAGTATGATAAGATATAATAAGAGTCTTGGAGGACCAGAATCAGTGAAGAAGTAACGTTTTTGCTGTTTTTTTGTCTCACTTGAAAACACTGCCGGTTTTCCGGCTTTTTTGCTTGGCAAACTGAATGAGTCCAACTTAAACTTTGGGTGGGTCGTCAAGCTTGAGCACCCCCTTTTTGAGTCTACCCTACTACGTGATAAGATAAGATGAGAATCTTTATTCGGTATTCAGCGCGTGTGAACTTGTTGAGGAAACTTAATACTGAAGGAGAGACAAATCTTCTTGGCTAAAAGGGTTTTAAGTTAACTCTCTTCTTTGCTTTTGATTTGATTCAGAAGTTTACAAAGTTTCAAATTATATTAATAAAGTTGATGTCATTTATTAGTAACTGTGACTGTTACAGAGGAGCTACATGTATCACAATATTTCGATTCCTTTCCAGGGTCATAGAAAATGGCCTTTAAATATAACAAACTCTCGAAATAATTGTTTGAAAGTTTGCACAAACACCAAAGAGAAAACGATGAACACGAATTGGGATGGTTACGGATGGCCAGGATTAAGACATTTGAAAATTAAAAAAAAAAAATTTAGGGTACAATCTCAAGGAAGACAAACCTTGACTTTGTTCCTTTAAGAAGCCTTTTTTTAAGATTGGCATCTAACATTGCTAGTTAATTAAAGATCACGTGCAATTTCTAATGATCCGTGAAAGATCCATGCTGCATCGTTTATACTTAGGGATGACCCTTATGCTCCCAATAAGACGATGGGTAGTTAGTGGTAACAGTCTCGCCGCTTCAACTTTTCAATAAAAAATGAAAAAGTTGTCGGTGGTGCTGCGCGATGAGCCTCTAGAGACCTTTTCCGTTCTTGGGACCAACCCAAATCTAGTGTCTGAAGTTTCACTGGCCGAAATCTCACTCCTTATGTTTATTACGTAATTGCCGGCTACTAGTATTTAGCCCCTGTGACTATGTTTGATAATATCATACATATGAGAGTTGGAATTCTGCCCTAAAATGTTCTCAAACCTACCAGGGGGGCGCCGTTGGTCCGTAAAACCAGACAAGAATAGCTGAGTTGTTCCTATACAAAAATTACTTTGCTGGCATCATTTACATATCTATTAATCAACCCTGACATTCCTTAAGTGTATCTTGCATGGCGAGACGTTTACTTTAAAATGATTGATTATGTGTCCCTAACAAAGCACTCCTTTATTCGCCAGCTTGTGGGTTTTTTAAAACTTTTTAAAACAAAAGTCTCGTCTAAATTCCGATTTGAGATAAATTTTGAATCTTATCCTTTGATGAGGAAGATTGTGATGTGTCTTATTGCAAAAAAGGATGCGAATTTCAAGCTACTATTGTCGATTTTGGAATCTGCGACCACCAAGGCATCAGTGAAGAGAGGTAACAGCGAGATACCGTCCTCTTTGGAGTAATACACGAAGACAACAGTTGCGATGGTCATCTCCAGTAGAAGGAACAGTAACATCGATGGTGTCTGATGGGCATAATTCCCTCGCTGATTGATCAAGAGTTTAAACTTGAAATTAAAATGTATCCCTCTAAAGATAAATCCTTTGCAATTATTGGCATCGTGCTATATTTGGAGACAATAGAATATGCGTCAAGGATACTTAACCATGATTGATGCACTGCACTGATCGCCTGCTGAGGTTTTATAGCCCTTTTATACAGGGAATGGTTCTGTTTCTGGGCCGGATGTAGCCCTCTCCTTCCTGTGCTCTCTCTCCCGACCTCTCGTTGTCAAGGCTGCTAGGTTGGTGTCTCCTGTCGTTAGGTTTCTCTCTAATAAATGTCATAGTTGGAGAGAACTTAATATAGGCCTTTTTCTATGCCCGTGACACCTCTTGCAAGTTCATTATACAGCATGTTATTTTGGTTTGGCCCACTACATCGACTAATGCACGAAAAGCGACATTGCCATAATTATCCCTCAGTTATTGGGTTCAGCTGCTTAGTCTGCAGAATTTTAAGTAGCGATATTTGTAATCGGTGTTCTTCAGATTTCAGAATTCTTTGTGATGCCTTTTTCTATTTATTTATTTATCTAGCTTCGCCTAATTATCTCAGACAGGGAGACCACTACAGCTTTAGCCAATTACAGTGGATCCCGCGTTAACAATGACAAGGCCAGACCCCTCGGTTTCCTGTGCAACTTTGATTGGGCGACTTAGCTTGATGTCAGTGCCTGAATTGGGTGACTTATGTAATTTTCCACGATTTTTACGGAAGTGGATGGTTTTACTTCCTACGAGTCGTATACCTCACAGCCTCTTGCAATTTTTTCCCCCTCAATATTCATCTTTAGTTCTTCACACTTCCAGTGGTGCAATTGGGCATTGAAATAACTCTCTCACTCTTATCAGCTCTTTGAAATTCGAGAATCTTGAGCTCATTGAGATTTGGACTCTGCAATCTTCCATTGGATGGATTTGAGTCGCCGGCCGTATCGGTTTCCATCCACGCTCCAGTGCCCCTTGTTTGAGAGAAACATCAAAGGATGAAGCACGCGATCAGTGTAATACCATTTCAGATCTCTTTGTTTCTCTTTTGATAGATGCATGAATACATGAACTGATGATGATTCGTCTCCTTTTAACATATGGTGTGCTCGTTATGTCATGGTAATAATGCAAACGAGAGAGAATCACCCGCTTCAACCTTATCCCTCCATCATCAATATTTAAATACATTTTAAGATAAAAATAGGAATGCTGTGTTAATTATAATCACTGCAACTTCTTTTGGGAAATAATTTTCAATACGCACCAGGGACTGCTTACGGCTAAGTTTGCAAATTTCAAATTACCCCCGTTCCAACTACGATCAAGAAACTAGTTGTGTTGAGTATAATTTGTCATATAGATTTCAAACAATTATTTTCAATTTAATCCGCGAACTATTATAACTATATTTTCAGTTGTTTTTATTTTGAACAAAACACATCTACCAAATGGTTGACATATTATAACGCTATGAAGGTTCAGTACTTGACGGAGGTGATTTCCCTAACGGTTTGAGGGACGGCTTGCGTGCATTTAAACAATGTACCAACGAGAGGTTTGTCGCGTAGGCAGTGACAATCTAAAATGAAAAAAACTTCTCTCTTAATTACTTGAAAACCCATATATATTTGCCAATGAATAATTAAGCGAATTCAAGTTGAATATGTGAAGACAAAGACAAGACGTTTGCAGAAACTTTCGTCCACAAAATCCATTTACCAGTAATTAGCAGTGCGGTATTTTTGTTCGATGACGCCTAACGCGTATTGTTCAGCTTCTACTTATCGCCCAATAAAAACAACCAATGAGAAAAGCCTGTTGAATCAATTTACAGGAGCCCTGTTGTGATCACGTATAACAAGTTCTCCCTAGTCAAATGATCGCCAAGATTCTTGATCCTATCTGAGTTCATGAAAAACGGACCAGGGTCTCGTAAATGTCGTATTTCACGGACAGTAGAAAAATATGGCAGATTCTGACTCTGGTACCCATGTAACGGACATAAGTGAAAGTATCCAGGACGATTTTGAGTTCAGAAAAGAAGGTACTTTGCTTAGCTTTCTATTTAGCAGATTATAAAACCACGGCTTCCTAATTTCATCTATTAGCACTTGATGTTCTCTGCTCAATACTCCTTCGTCAAAACAAGTCTCAATTAGGGCCTCTTTGTTTCATTGAACTTTACGTCTACTTAGAGACTATTTTTTCTAACCACGCCACGTTCGATGGCAAGATTCATTTTCCTTAGTGGCTCAAAACTACTCTTAAAGGTTGAAATGCTGAGCCCTGGAAACACGAAGTTTAAGACGTCACTAAACTTGGCATCATTGCATATTACTTCAAAATGGTAATATCTAAGTTTCAAGGGCACACGGGCAATGAACCTATCAAACTTTGAATGATTTATCTCGATTAAAGTACTCTGTAATTCTCTCTATGTGAGTCATACAGTGAGCCTAAGTTGTTCATTAGGTAAATTACATGATTCAAATTTATCCCGCGGAAAAGAAAACCTCGTTACTTTCAACATTCGCCTGATAGTACCAAAGAGTGAAAATACACTTTATCGCTTGTATCTCGATTTTGATCCAATTTCGACGGAGTTAAAACCGCTCTTTGAAATATTCTAAGAATTCACTGCAGTCTATGAAATTGAGTTTAACAGCACTGAAGAGATCTGTAGTGTAAAGAGAACTTGAAGTGCAAGCGAAAGATTGATCACTTAAATTAATGACTATACATTACAGCCGGTGAGACTTCACTTAAAGCATAGGAAAGTTTAATATTTTCGTTTTCGTGGAAATGTCTTTCTTAAGGTTTAAAAGGCGAGTAAATTGTATATTCGATGAACTCGGCCAAAAATTATTTCCATGTTTTTTCAAATATAATGCTTTCATCCGCTGCTTCGATGAGTCGTTTGTTCACTAAGGAAAGAAAAGGGAGCTTCATTTAAAGTTTTATTTTGCTTTATTTTATTGCAAATCATAATCATAGTTACCAATAGAAATAATTAACTTTTGTAAAATATCTTCAAAACACGAATCACTTATCAGGCAGAATGCTTTATGCATGCTGAAGTGGCATGCACTTTTCAGGGATAATTGAGTCATTTCAAAGCAACGGGCGATCTCATCAGGAGATGATCATACAACTGGCCTCATATATTTTTACCGCTGATGTTTCACGAACTTCAGAGCGATGAAAAAAATTTGTCAATTATTTCATATAGATAGTCATGTGTATTTTTGAAGCTAGCTAGTATTCCGCGTTTGGTATTGTGATACCCACAGAAATATTGAATGGAAACAAAAAATCGTTATGCTCAGCACCAGCATGTATATTTTATTCGAGCCTTTCTTAACGTCACTCGGCGTTATAGCATGAGACTACAGTGGTTGTTGTACACAACAAATAAAACAGGATTTTACCTAGGTTGACATTTACTGCACAGTTCTGTTATTGATATTACCTTTTGATTGAGTCTATTGATTCCATCTTTAGAAAATTATCTTTGATGCCAAAAAGATGCTTCAATTTTTTTATTACTGGCGGCATATATTTTCCTCCAATTTAGCCTATTAAGTGATCCTTCCGTTCACAGATAAGGTAGATTGTCGAGAAAGTTAATTAAGTTTCGATTTTTAATCCCCGATGTTAAGCTAGGATGGTTCATCAAACTTTTTGTGTTAGCTTCAAGTCCTGCAAAATGAGCTAATGTAGTATCGAAATCTAACATATGTTTGCTAATAAAATTAGCTTCAAGAGGGGAATATTTGTTGTTTTTAAGACAGCTTGATTGAATTTTCTTTCCTCAGCTATGCTACAAACAGTGACGGAAATAGGACGCAATTTATCAAATGAAACCATCTCTCAGAGGAATTCAATTGAGATCAGTGGAGAAGATATCTCGTGGAATAGATCAAACCCGATTCCTTCTGGTCAACAGCGTCGAAACAGCACAGGCAGTACCCCTCGCTTAATTCGTCACGTGTCTAGCCGTGTCACTTCACCTGCTCCTATAGCGCAAAGTCGAGTGTCATCTCCATCTCGTTTTTCAGTAGCACTTGTATCGGGATCTGCTTTTCACGTACCCATTCAAGCTCCATCGCCGGGTCGTCACGTGCCACACCGTGTCGCATCTCCTCTCCGACTCGCACCTAGTCGTTCTGTATCACCCACCCGTACCCAAACAAGCCGATTATCGACACCAGTTCGACACCCGGCAACTCGCGGTTTATCTTCTGCTCAACTGCCATCCAGTAGAGGAAATTCACCTGCTGGGCGAGTGCCGCGCCGTAGAGCCGCAAATGCAGGACGGGCCATTGGTCGAGAGACAACACCAAGGGATAATTTGATAATCGCAAACGTTCATGCAACGCCTAGGAGACACAGAAAGGCTAATGGTGTTGTCAACTCAGCACAGCTCTCTGTTCCTAACAGAGCACAGCAAATCGCTGCCCAAACGTCAGCCAGTTATGGTGGTGCACTCAGCGAAGGGGATGGCGCAGGATTTCTGAGGAGTTTAGATAGTATCCCAACACATTCGGGATCAAGGAGTGCGTACGATTTTGTCGACGCTAGTAAGCGGAAACCTTGGAAACGCAAGAGAAATGCCAGACAATTTGATATCAAGGATATAGACCTTTCTGCACTTGAAGAGCAAGAAGTATTAAACGATCAAGTTGACGACAAGCCCTGGCTCCCAACTGGAATCTATGCAGTGTTCTTAATTACACTGTGGACTGCTGTTCTGAAGCTTAGTGATGGTGTAGAAACAAACGGTCCTGTTACTTGCTCTGCTGGCGAAGAAACTCGTCTTTGGATATGCGCCGCCTCCTTCTCGCTTGCACAAGGTCTCGCTGAAGCTTTTTGGCAACGAAAAAACATGCTTAAAGTCCTTTTTAGTATGCTGTGCCTCTTTGCGTATTTCGTCATTTTGCATGTGCAACCGCTATCATGTCGGTTCGGAGAGGACAGAGTCACAGATATAAGCAAATGGCAGTCTGCTATAAATTTTTTTGTGAGTGCGTTGTTAGGATTGGGAATTTATAAGCACATTTTGGAAACGATACAAAACCAAAGAATAATCAAAGAAAAAAGAATTCAAAAGGGGCAATGGGAAGAGGCTGAGGACTCAGAGTTTGAGGGATTACCAGAAGGTATAATATAACTGAGTGAGCTCCTAGATACATCATGACAAGAAGCTGATGTTCAGTCAGTACGTTGCAGTCAACGCCCTCATACAACTTTCATCGTGGAATATTAAACTTGGCCGAGAAGAAACTCTGCGAAATGACAGACATAAAAGCGTTGGAGCAAAAGGTTTCCAACAATTTTTCCGTTTCAGCAGTTAGCAAAGCGCAGTTATTTTAAGAACGCTATATCCAAACTGAAACTAATAATTGCCTATGAATAAAGCGGGTACGTTTCTTAAGAAAAAGTGGTGCTGCGTCGGTGGATGGTATTATAAGATGATTTGCTTTTATCAACTGAGTTGATAATGTAAATTAGCCACCGTAAAGAGTTTCTAAAGCTGACGTTTCGAGCGTTAGCTCTCGATCAATGCCTTATAGTAGTTAAGGTAATCCTTGGACTTTGTTAAGAAAGCAGGAAGGTGCAAGCTGAAAAAAATTTCAGGCAGAGGACGTTATATCTTCATGGATAACCAAATGAAATAATTTAATCCCTCCTAATTCTTTCTTTCAAAAATGGCCCCACTTACCTCGAGATTGAACCAATTTGATCTTTCATCAAACCGAATCACCTGATATATATATGGAATAGATAAGGCTAAATTAGTGAATTTAGTCCCTGGAGGGCTTGACTGAGAGGTTACGGTACATAAATTGCTGTCGGAGTGGGAGCTCGAATCGGCTCTGAGTAAGTGAAACCTGTAAAGATGCACAGAAATAAGAGCATGTGTATAGTGTGGAGCTTTGGTTTTACTTAAATTGCTATGTGATTTGTCCCGATAAGCAAAATCTATCGAGAGACTTGTAAAATGTCATTAAAACTTGTTGGTTAGAATTTCACGAGTTACTGGCAAATGTTAAGTGTTGTTGGTGATGGCTCTTGACTTGAAAGAGCGGTTCATGCTAAAATATTGTGTTTTTTAACGCCTAGGAGCCTACTACTCTAAGTTCTCCTCTCAAATTTGTATCTTCAGTTTTCCCTCTATTGAATAACCAGAAATTTCTCAAATGTGTAAGTCACAGCGAGGTTTCTTATGAAAAGGTAGATAACGATGTTTCCTACGATCACGGATAACCGTTTATATCTTAATGATCCAGCACTATATTGTACCTGATTTTTATTGTAAAATAGAAGGATGCCATTTCACGAAACCGTCATTGAGGCACTCACATACAGCCATAAATTATTCTCAATTGTTTATCATATCAACGTTGTTCTAAATCTGTCTTCTTTTGTTTATTGTTTTTTTGATACTGGTAAACATCTCTTTTCTTTACAATTTGTTTCTCAAGTCTATAATTAAACGTGCATCTCTAGGACTTTCGTAAAGAACATTTGGATCAACCCCTGTGAACGTAAGTACAGAATAATTGGCAATGAGAACCAACGCCTTACATATTAAATTACAGCACCTGTAAGGGCGGCTTTTTCTTTTGGCATTTTGTTAACACTCCGCTAAGAACAACAATCGCAAAGTACGGGAGACCTTAAAAAGACAAAAGAAATTTTAAATTTCCCTTGCGTGCCCAAAGTCTTTTTAAGAAAGAGGCGTGTAGGTTCGAGACTAAATAGAGAGCACTACACTTCCTGTTTCTCAAGCCTTCTCGTACATGTCTGGTGAGGTCTTTGTCAACGAAACAACGGTTCGGTTTTTTTCTTTTCGGTTATAAAATTAAAGCGAGTTAAACCCGGTAAGTCGGCATTGTTTCGTGTTATTAGGTGGAGAGACCGACTGCTGTGACACCCTTATCAACAATCGCTCGCCAAGGACGTGGCGGCTTCAGTGATCTCTTCACCAGTAATATCAAAGCTTTGTCCCGTTCTCTATATAACTGTGTCCTTTGACCAAGTGCAATACTTTAGCCAAGCAGTTCACGGCCCCTTAGGTGTGGAGACTTTGAAAAGGCACTCACCCTCTGAACAAAAAGTCTTATTTCTTTCCAAAGCATCTTAAAATGGGCTTTGTTAAATGTAAGAGTGGATAGGAAACCATATTGTTAAATATATATACCTATCATTCTTTAAGGGTAGTACCTATATGTGTATATTGTGGCTGAGTGTTTGTCCTTTCTTCACTGATACTTCTCGTCTAGTGCCGGATGTCACACAAGTGCATGTAGAATCATGGCCATTTGATGACGCAAATACAACGTCACTGTTCAAGAGCCCACAAATAAAAAAAGGTGTATATTCTTTCGCTGATCAGCGAAAGAATTTAACATCACTTGCAACTTGCGCATTCATCAAGTGCAAAATTAAATTGCTGTCTGTGAAAGCTTAATTTTATGTTGTGACCACTCAAGCGCTGGTTTTCATCATGGTGCGGATGTTTCGGCCATTCTGTCGGCAAGGCTTTTATACGGATTAAGTGCTGTCTTTGTGATTTGTATTGACCTGCTATTATTCAAAGAACAATATAGCGGAAAACAAAACATATCTGCATCACTAAGCACGAAGTAAACATGTAAAGTGTTATCATCATTTTGCATAAGTATGTTTTGAGATGAAGTTATAAGCTAAAGAGTTTGACGTTAATTCTGTTGGTGTGAGGAGCACTTACTCTTCAAGGAAACATGGCGAAAGGATTGTTTGCGCTTGTTCGCAGAGGTTCCAAGTTGAACTACTTAGACGACGCTGGAAGGGATTTGTCCCAAAGGCAGCAAACTGAAGTCCATCCACAAAATGCAGCTCATATAGTGAAAAGTATACCGAGATCAAAAGAAGATCATTCAAGTAAAGAAAATGATACTCTGGAAAGCACCACTTCGAAGGAAAGAACATCTAACGAAAAAATACTTTTGAATTTGAATTTCCAAAAGTTATCTATAGGACGCAAGATTGCACGGAATTCGCTTTCTAATTCAAAGAAAACCTCATCAGCGGAAACTACTTTGACAACCAAGGAAGTGAATCAGGGTCTTTCTGGCAAACCCAAGTTGGTTTTAAGCGTAGCAAGCGGTTATTTTGTCGGCGAATGTAACAGTTCAAGCATAGAGACCACTTCAAAGAAAGAAGAGAGTGCCGGAAAAATAGTGCCTTGTATTATTTTACCCGATCATGACTCGGTTAATATTCGTTCAACGGCTTGTAACAGCTTTGAAAATCATCCTTTCGTACAATACTCTAGGAACTTTGGTTCGCAACCGCATTTACGGGGTAGTGCCGAGAAGAAAAAGCGTCCATCTAGTTGGACTAGTGAGTCTAGTCCAGGACGAAATGACCTTACCGACAAAATATCGAAAACTACGAGCGTTTTCGTATCAAATCAAAACCTGGGACTCCTGGGAGAAGCAGTGCCTATTTCAGCGTTGCCTTCGCAGCGGAGAAATAAAAAAGAGAGTTCTTTAAGTCCAGAAGGCCGGCATCTGAGTAGACTAGTATCTAGTTTAGATCGGAGCGGTAGAGTTGTGGATCGTTCTGTGAGGAGGGCTAGATCATGGGGCAGAGGAGATGAAGTTACAGACTCTGGTATTCAACAAAGTAGAAAAGTTGACATTTTTCTTCCAACAGCGTAAGAAATATTCGGTACTTAAGCTTGATAACTATACCGTTTATAGTATTTTATCGATGTTATTGTAGATGTAAATGTTTGTAAAAACTTTTTATTCAGTTGTGACCAGCAATTAGTCAGCAATATTATTTGTTAAAACTTTTATCTTTTTGCGCAAAAGCATTGACAATAAAAAGCAACAATATCGACAAAAGGTAGAAATTTTTTAACCTTACAAAACGATCGCATTTTAATTTAAAGAGAAGAGGGACTGTCAAATAAAAAACCAATTACCGGTATTCAGCACTACGATTCTCCCTTACACCCTAAATACATATTCCGATGTATGCATCTGTGAGCATTTGTGGAAGATCTTAGTCTCGGGCTGATCAGTGTTCTCAATTCTCGTGACTTTTACTTGTCAAATTCATCCAGTATTTTTAGGAGAAATTTGACGCTGATCAGTTTTGGGGTTTAAGAGGTTAGTCAATGCTTGATTTGTTTCTCAAATTTTGGCATATGTAATTTTTGATTGATTGGTAGTCACAACACTTTGAGACGTTCAGTGGTGTCTATAATCGTAATCATATTTGTGATTAACACATCCCACATTCACTGCGGGGTCGTTTGTTTTTTTTAACGTTCTTTTTAGCAACGAACTTACAGGAACTGTTAACTTCTAGGATGAAAATCTAGCCTTTTGTGATTAATTGATCTTTAAATTAAACAATTTTCATAACTCGAGACACAGCAAAAAATTGTAACTTGTCACAGTACTTCTTTTTCCCCGGGCTAAAGGCTTCAAGCTCATAAATCAAAGAGTCGCCTTTTCGTGACTTTCAATTTTAAAATGGTCGCCATTAAAAGTTGTTGGTCGCTTTTTTTTTCTTTTTTTATCTGTTGGTCGCTTTTTTCCCCTCTATTATCTGTTACTCGCCATGGCGACTAAGATGACTTCGCTTATATAAACTCATATTTAAGTACTAAGGAACTTTTTCCGTGTTTATATAGTTACTCTCATCTAAACACAAGGGGGGATTTGGAAGTAACCGAGAAAGTTATGCAAACTCGTGACGCAGTCGAGGGTTTGCATAATTTCTGAGGATTCTTCCAACCTCCCGGGTGAGCATTTAAAAGTGACGAAAACTTGCCCGCTTTGGCAGCCCAAGAATATGGTTGAGAAGTTGAATCGCTCATCATGCTTTGTGGTGTTTTGCTCCGATGCGGAGAAAAAAAAGTTAACGTATATCATCGCCAATGTGAAAGTAGTTTTATACGCCGAGAACTTATCAGAGAAAATGACATTATATGAAAAATTTTTTAAGCCAAAAGGCGGCAACAGATCTGCGGTGCGATAGGGTGGGGGTTAAGGGAAGAAGAGGTTATTAGATTTAGGAATTTTTTCCTCCATGTCTTATATTTGTTATTTGTTCTTGAAATTACTCTGCTAGTATTGCAAAGGCTTGGAGTTTGAAACGTTTTTCAAATTGTACCGCCAAACACAAAAAGCGTGACGTCACAACTGTGCTTACATACTCTCATCTAAACTGGCCGGTTGACTAATGAGAACGCGCTTAATACCTCTGTTGTTTTAATAATAAATGTCATGAATTTGTACACGCTACATTCGCGCGCTGCACTCTGGTGAAGGCCGGTGAGATGAGAACTAGATAGTTGAGAATGCTAGAAGACAAAACTTCGTTTATCTTTAGTGATATTGGGATTAACTACAGTTGTATGAAGTCGTTGCATGACGTACCAACTGATCTGGATCGGCGCTGTGGGCCTTATTCTCAGAGGTTCACATGTGACAAGTGTCATGATTTAGGATCATCCCTTGGCCACTTACACAAATTAAGGGACAAGTGTAACAGGTGTTCTGATCTAGGATGGCAAGCTCCTAAGAGTAGTTGTTACTTGTTCCTCGTCTCTAAGTTCATGCTACTGAAACTGTGGTAAGCTGTAGCATCGATGCGATTTATTCTCGTATGCAGACATTTTCGGTATAGGGTTGACTTTTCATTTCTTTAGGGCCCATAACACCCAATTTTTTTTTCACGATTTCCTCGTCAAGGATGACGGCGTGTAGAGTTTGGGAATGCCGTCTTCCAGTACCAAGTCTCAGTAAAATCTTAATTATTTTTCTCTTTCCTTCCCTCAAGGTTTATGCATGGTGTCTGCATCCTTCGTAACCTCAGAGAATAGTCACTTCGCATGTCTACCGGCTGACTGATTGAACACAACTGTACACAATAGTTGCGTGTAGACCTCTAGCTTCGGTGTCAAATGGGAGGATATTGTCCCAACCAGTCATTCAAAGATAATCCTCGTGAACAATTTTCTGGAGAATTTCCTGAAGAAATTCCTTGACATGCTATCATGACGTTTTAAAATTGGCTCCAAGAAGGTTTAGTGGAGTAACAGGCTGACCTTCACAATGGCACGAACAAAAGTGCAAGCTGACATACGCTGGCAGAGTACCGAGTTGATAATTTTTGTAATTTGTTTAATAAAAGATCAGAAATGACCTACTTCTTGCTGTATATGTATTCATCGGCTCAGTGCTCAAGTGCTTTGGTTGCATGAATGAAAACTGGTCCTAAACGGTGAAAACCCATATTGACCGTTCTGTGAATCAGCTGTTGTTATTGAAAATAGTTTAACAACACAGTCATTTGCTCATTAATAAACTGCTGTGTAATGTTCGCAAAATTTATGAGGGTGTATTCTGTGGCTTTTACGTTCCTCCCGATTAGTCCCCAGTTATTTCCATATAATGAGCAGCTACAACCCGGGTAGTTTGGAAACGCGCGATGTGATTCCATTTTCCATCATCCAATTCCCTCCTACATGATATGGTTTATGGAGACGACTTAGGAGGGTGTATCCTCCTTTCACTTTTCTTTGTTTTCTTCCCTTTTATTCAAAAAATAAGCTCATCAACACCTCAGATGCCATTTGGCATTATGTGTCAGCACAGGAAAAAGCTACACACCTGCTATAACATGCTAATTTGAAGTTTTCCACAGCTTGTGGTCAACACTGAATAGATTCTCATTGCTCTGATTTCCATCGTTCTCTTTTTTTTTCTCACGGGGCATTTGACTAGCAAACGTTATCTTATTTGTGTAGTTGACAAAAGCAGCCGATGGTCGATGAACCTCCCTTCTCTTTAGTAAAAGATGGCTGCAGCCATCTCCTTAACAAAACAAAACCCCTCTAGTCTAAAACATACTAGTTATGCTTGCAACTGAACGACGTTAAAAAAAAAATTTTCATGAAATAAAATTATGTTATCCAGTGAGCTGAACAGCGTGTCTCGATCCACGTGGGAAGCCAACTATGGTATAAATTGAACAGTTTGGATATTTCGCCATCTGCAGACCATTTCCATAATTATGTTTATTCTTGTTAGCTGTTGCTTTTTTTTCTCTCGTGATAATTTTATTTCTTCTTCCTTCTGGTTGACCGGGCTTGAGAAGGTGTTATACACTTACTAAAGTTTGAAGTTGAACTAAGGAAAGATTTGTCGCTTAATTGGATGAAGTTAGCGGCATTTCGTTTCTCCTCCGAACCGCCGACAATTGCAAATTGAGATTTAATTTTGAAGGACAAATACTGACAGCTGATCTAAAGGGAGGTCGTACTTGCTGAAATGAAAAAAATTACTAATAGAATGAAGAATTTGGTATTAATGAAATTTTTGATGTTAATAAGCAAGGAAATTATCGCTTTTAATGCGGTTTGAAAACGGACAACCTATATCATGCCTTTTATCTTTCAATATAAACTTCAATCCGTTTTATTTCTCTATAAACCTCCTTGTTTGATCGTTTCAACTCCAAATAAAAGGCGTAGGTGATCCCTAATGTACTTTCCTTTTCAACTGAAAAGCGACATAGTAATGTATACAACAGCAAATGTTGAAAAGGTGCCAGGTGCTTTGACAGAAATTGCATAATTTGCAACCAATTTTCTGCGAAGATTGATCAGGCTTTCCACAAGACCACCCTGACGCTGACTCAAAAACCAAACCTCATAAAAAAAATAAAAAAAAAACAACGTTGAACCAAGATTATATCTTGTTACCCAAATTTTCAAAACATTCAGTTTTCCTTGTTTTCATCTCTGAAGTTTTCAACTGAGAAGAAAGCGGTGTTCTTCTTATCTCAACCTGAGAACTAAATTTGTCTTCATTAAATATTCTTAGTTGTCCTCAATTTCCCTTCTTGTCTCACAACCTGGTCGTAAAAAAAAATATGAAAATGTCGAAAATCCTCGCGAGAATATAAAATAATTTGTGCGGGAAAAACATAAAAACGAGTTTTTGTTATCTTATTTTACTTTAAATATTTTTTTCCCGTAATTAACATAGACGACACTTAGTGCAGCTGGTAAATTTCGCAAGACAAAACAGTTTTCCTCGAAGTTGTCTTTCTTAATGTGTGATTGTTGTAGCGATATCTGTGAAGTGAGATCCAAATCTTTCCTGATAGCAGTCTCTCCGGCGCTGGTTTGCACCTAAAATGTCATTGTCTGACCGATGGAAAGTTTGAAAAGAAATATGCTTTTTTCCATTTCGATTAAAGTTGGTTACTCCCTGCAAGACTCTTTCGTGTCTTGTGAATCGTTATTGAAAGCCGTCCTCTGTAAAATATTCAAAGCGTTGACAGTGATATTTTCAGTTGATGACAGTTAATGTTTTATTCAATACCAACAGGAGTTCCCTGAAACCTTGCTGTATTAGCATAATGCTTGAAATAGGCGGACTTGTTTTGTTTGCGATATATTTCTCGTATCATTTAAAAAAATACCCCCTTGACATTCACTCGAAGACGACAATGTCGAAAGGAAAAGATCGCTAGGGTTATGTGAAATCGGATACGACGGTTTCATAACCCGAAAAGTTGGCCGGAAAGTCTTTTTTTGTTTTTAAGCAGCCAGGGAAAAGATGCGATGAATGAATTGAACTTCGGGTCTTACTTAGCGATGGTGACGTCACCTTTGTCAAAAATTAAAATGCGAGAGGAACAATAAAAGCCACCAAATAAGAGTGACAGCTGGTTAAACTCAAACCGCATAAAGACTTTCCTTCTGAAAATCTCCTTGAAGACGGGGATTTTCTTATAGTTAATTTAATAGAAGTTTCCATATAAAAATTCTCACCGGATAACACCAGAGTCAAATTCAAGCAAAGGACTATCCATTATTGGTGGAACGGACTTTCGCTTCAGTGTCCGTCCATCCGACGCGCTAGTGTTGGGGCACCGTTGCCTAGAAGCCAGGACAAAACTAGAGATGTGTAAATTTGAAGACAACGTTTTGAAGGCGATCAGGAAAGCGAAACCGGAGAATGGAAACTACCGCTCAGTTTTCTATTCCCCCAGGGCTAACTGATCTACTCGAGGAATTTGTCGTCAAGTGCATTCAGGAGAATCCAAGCGATTTAGTCGAGTTCGCCGCTGATTACTTCGACATGCTGCGCCTTGGAAGAAAGAAGAAAGAAAGCAAAGCCGGAAAAGAATCGGCCGCATCAAAACCCGAAAAAAAAGAAACTGTAGAGGATAAGGAAGAAGTGCAAGAGCCGCCGAAGATCCCTGCTCGTGGAAGACGCAGAGCCGTCGCAGCTGAAGCGTACAACCCTAATGAAAACGACACGGAGGTGAAATGTGTAGTTCACCCAAAAACAGATGAACAATTACAGCGCTTGAAAAAATCGGTCGAGAACATTTTGCTTTTCAAGTCGTGCGACCGAGACCAGCTTAAAGAAATTCTAAACGCTATGTTCGAGCGAAAGGTGAGCCCCGAAGACGAAATTATTCGGCAAGGAGCCGATGGAGACAATTTCTATGTAATTGATAATGGCGTCTTTGATGTTTTTATAGAGAAGGACGGCAAGGAACTGAAGGTTCATACTTTTAAAGATGAGGGCAGCTTTGGCGAGCTTGCGCTCATGTACAACTGCCCCAGAAATGCTACCATTATAGCTAAATCTGAAGGAAGCATTTGGGCTCTCGATCAATCCACCTTTCGGCGAATAGTCGTTGGAGCTGCAGCTAGAAGGCGACAAATGTACGAGGCCCTTCTCGAGAACGTCCCCATGTTAAAGGAACTACAGGCTTACGAGAGAATGAATTTGGCCGACGCTTTGGAAACAAAAATCTTTGACGATGGCCAGTGTATCATTCGACAGAATGACGAGGCAGATTGTATGTATTTTATCGAGGCCGGCACGGTTCGCGTCACGGTATCAGATAAAGAAATCTCTCGGCTGACAAAAGGAGCTTACTTCGGAGAGGTCGCGCTGGTGACGAAGAATCCGCGATCCGCCTCGGTTTTCGCAGAGGGAGAAGCAAAGTGCGCGGTTTTGAATGTAGATGCGTTTGAGAGGCTTCTAGGACCGTGTATGGACATCATGAAACGAAACATTACACACTACGAGGAACAACGCAAAGCTTTAGGCTTAGAATAATGGCTTGATGAACCGTAACACCTGCTCCAGTGACTAGTAGTTTAAAAGCGAAAATTTTAGTTTACAAGCGCACAAAACCGAACTTGGATTAGCGTTTGGCGCAGTATTTAGCTCGCTGTTTATAAATGAAATTATCCTAAACCATTTCTTTAGTTTCGAAACTGAAATTTTGGGAAACATGAAATTGCCAAATGTGATGAGTTTTTTGAGGATAAACCGCTCACCAGGGTGTTGTAATTATGCATGCAAGTTGCGGTAATTTTGCAGTTTTAGTGCCAGAACTGGTTGTTTTTATCTTGCGTGTTGTGTTATTATTGCTGTGTTCGGTTGTTCTGATTGTTCGTGTTTTGAACAGATCAGGTTTCCTGTTTCCAGTGAACTTGGCGTTTCGCTTCCTCAGTAAAATATATTATTCGGAACTCGGCGATGAAGTCGCGCTGACTTCTCCATGCGAAAATTAGATGCATATACAAAATTAAGATGGAGACGTGCTCATCGAATTAACGAGCAAATCCTGTCGATTCAATATGGCAAAGGTGGTTTCGCTTTCGTCTGAAAATCTGTTAAATCTATCTGGCTCGCAACGGATGACCTTTTGGGCAGCACTGCCTGTTTTTTAAAATAACCGCAGATTAAAAGAACACTTCACCATGACAAAATAGATAGCTTAAAACGTGTATTTAGTGTGTTTAAAATGCAAGATGGCCACCATATACTGAACCAAATTGCAATTTATCTACGTTCTTTGTACACAACTTGAAACGATCCATCCTTTGACTGAATGAGTTCCACGCTGCCAAATAATGGAACAGTTGTTGATTGAAATTGTATATCAATCCTTTTAAACCGCGTAATTAGAATATTCATGTCTGGCTTTTATTCAAATTACTCGGACCGAACCTTCTATTTCTAAGTAAAAGGAATTAGGGACTAGTTTTAATAGAATAGTTGTTTTGATTGATTGAGTGACTTAACCAAAATTATAAGAAGAAGTTATTTGCTTTTCTCTTACGAGAAATGTGTATGTCGTTCAAAGTTTTATTAAACCACTGTTTTATCCATCGGCGATCGTACCTGTTGTTTTTCTTGTTTATCTTTTTATCATAATGCTTCATAATGCTCTTTCCTGTCGCCTTGTCTCATCTTAAACTCTAAATGGATTAATCCTTTTCAAAAATTTGTAACCAGAGAAACGGAATCGTTGACGACGGTTATTTCCTTTTAAGTAATTTCTGTTTTCTTTCTACTGAGTAATAAAAAAATTTTCCCTTTAATTGGAATTGAGTAACAAAAGAAATAAATGTAACGGTGAACATTTTTGTATTGTTTTACTTCAGCCATCTTCCCCTTTTTCAATGTCTTTAATTCTGTTGTATTCTAATTTGGTTATTCACTTATTTATTCAGTTTTTCATTTTCCCCTAAGACTGTAAATAAAGGTCTTATATAATTAAATGAAAGGCATTTTCTTTTGACAAATAATTAGTTTTTATAAAAAAAAATTCTCACAGTGAGTATTAATATTTCAATAAGTAAACGTTTCACGTTGGAAAAAAGAGAGAACAAAATTCGTGGGTAACAAATTAATCTAGGTCATGCTCTAACTCACCAACGAGTTCTCGATTGACAGAACTCCTCACAAGACTCTGATGATGATTTCCGCCTAGACTGTCGATACGTCAGTCACCACTAACGTCAGTAGTCTTTCTCAGGACTAACCTCACTCGAACGATCAGACTTCACGGTCAAATGTTTACTTTAAGTTCAAACCATTTACTGTAAAGCAAGTTCTCTGTGGCTCAGTTGTAGAGCTCGGCACCGTGGTCCAACGTTTGCAAGAAACGAAAAACGTCCTTCTTTATTTTATGACCCCCATAAAAATTTTATATACGTAGTTACCGTTTGTTGGAACGGTTGAGACCAGGGCATTCAAATTTTTGACGACCTGACTCGAGATATTGGCAGATGAAGTGGGGGTTTTCAAAAAACACTAACGTATTTGAGACATGACGTGTGACCTATCCATCTTTTGCAAGCCCAGCCCATTAAGTCACTTGATGTTCGATTTCTAGAGGTGATTAAGTTTAGTGAGATTTGTTATCAGGGAGCTTATTATCTGAAGCGAAAATCAAGAATAGGCGGGTAAACTGAAAGGGCGCTCAAATGGCAATAAAGATACAAGTATAGGGCAGGTGGCTTGTATTTTGACCAGCGCGAAGCAAAGTTCAATTTACTTTGCGGGAATATTGTCCCCGTTGTTGCTGTTGCTCTAATCACTTTTTTGGGGCAGGGAGTGGGCAAACGTATCAGTATAACACACCTGAAATGATTGAAAGATTAGCGGCGACTCATATTAAGGAACCTAAAGTGTCTTGGCGGTTTGTAACAACTCTCGAAATGAGTTTTCCTCATGCCTCTCGCGCATCTCCCTAAAAATTTACGATTGCACCAATTTTCCTTCAAACAAGATAAAGTGGCAAGGAAGGTGTCGGACTAAGAAGTTAAGATTCAAAGAAAGTCGCTAATATTTCTTCGTCCCATTGTGACCCAAGTCATATTTTCCTTTCTTGTTGGTTGGTTTTTACCGTCATTCAAAGGAATAGAATGCGTCATTATTATTGCCGAGTATTTATTCCTTAGAATATCCTTTACTACTATTATAGATAACGTATATTCAAGCCAAGAAAAATTGGATTGCTATCTATTGGCTTTTTTTGGCCTTTCTCAAAAAGCCTTCTTTACTTTCTTTATTTCATTCTTTTCCTTTTTCTTTTTTAAATTCAAATGGTGTAATCTTCTTCTTTCGGCCATTCAAGACGTCTGAAAAATGTCCTGTCTATGAATAGCAATTAGCGTCTGTCATTATCTGTGTTGACGTGTCTCCTGTTTCTGTTGTATCTGATAACGCTCGTATGGCAGGATATGTGACAAGTTCTTTGACAACAGCAGATAAGATATCTGTAATTCACTATTAGACAAATTATTGGTACAAACTAAGAACTGCGTCTCGAAAGTAATTCAGGATTGCAACAATTACATTTGCTTTCATCACTTTGTCTGATCCATCGTCAGGAAAATACACTACCCTTAAACTGAACGAATCGCGACTTGACACTCAAGTATTCCTGTGCTTCAGTTCAGGTGGGTTGGGACTTTACTCATCCCTGGCTCTTTGTAATACTTGGCTTTATTACCGTCATCCATTTTGAAATCACTGGCTCTCATTGGTGCGATATATTCACGAATGGCACCATTTTCTCCACTAAATTGCATCTTTTTCCAAACTATTGATGATAATTTACAAGAACAAACACTTATTTAAAGAAACCTATCAAATTGCAAATAAAGCTAAAAACAACTTTTGCAACTTTCTTCCAATCAACTCACTGCTGGTTCAACAAAACATTTGCACAGGCTATGAACATCGTGTATATGAGCGACTGAATTTTGCGATTTCATTATGAAAGTAATTATAAGTGTGATTTTGGTCTGAAATCACGCATATGATTTCAGATCAAATTGCACTCCACTCAGTTTCAGTTACCATTTTTAATTTTCATTGGCTGTTGTCACCTGACCCGGGCCACAGTGGGAAGTGGGGGAGTGGGAGAGAGTATTATCATCAATGTGCTTGTCTTTTCTCTCCTTCCCGCCTTAACCCTCCTTATCCCATTTTTTTTCTTTATTTGACGACCAAGCTAAAGATTGCCATTCCTTTCACTCTGTTTTTGCACATGGTACTGCTGACATTACTGATCTTAGCAATGTGCTACTCTCTTGTTATGCGTGAACCCAGTCGAGAGAACATGATCTTATGTTCTCTCGACTCAGTGTATGATGGCCCAAGTCTTCAATGAGTTCTTTGTTGCTAAGTTTGTAGAGCTTTTATACGGAAAATCTGAACTGGTTAGGACTCAATTCCTGAAGGAGGGTACTCAAATATTTTCTTTGCTCATTGCAGATCCTTTGCACTGTGCGACGCGCTTCTCATCCACAGATTCTTTGTGGATCAGTTGACAGAACATCCGAGTATAAAATCGGAACTGGCTGGAGTTTGATTCCAAGTGGGAGATGCATAATTTTGTTTGCCATGCCAGCGACTAGTCTTGAACTTTTTTTTCTAAGGAAGAACTTTGTTGACTTGTGAAGCAGTGGTAGTTTGTTGATGGGGTTGGTGATACAAAGATAACAATTCTCTTAACTGGACAGCCTTGTTTACAAAAATGAGTACACTGTATCATTGGGTGGTGTTTGCATAAACCACTCATGGTTAGCAAGAGAGGATGTTTACCATGGCGTTGTGGTGTGGCCATTTTTTATCGTCGTTCGGATCTTCTGCACTGCGTCATTTGGTGTTCTGGCATCATCCACAAGAGTAACAACGTTCCATCGGGACATTTTTGTTCAATTTTTCCTAATCATTTGCCGGTTAACTCTGCAACTAATGTTTAAATCTCAAGGCATTTGAAAAATTGTTCTGCAGTTGTGAGTTAATCACTGAGAGAGATGAGCGTAGATAGTGTGAGTGTCTGTCAACTTCAACTTGCAAAATTCTTGTGATAGTGAAATAATCTTTGGTGTGATTGTTTTGAGGATTACGAATTTCCTCTTTGTCCCACGCTCGTAAAAAATGTTAAAATCTTTTGTTAAAGTTCCTTTATGGTTTTGTATTTATCTGTTAGCGTCAATCGGTCCTTTCTTTGCGTTTTTCGCTACATTTTTAACGAAATCCACGCTCCATATTTGCGTCAATAATTGATTTTTCTTTGCGAGCAGAACCATAGGGAGGTCAATTATTGATGTATTGTGAAATGATGAAAATTTTAACATGCGCAAACTCACATACCATGCATTTTTAGGTTCAAATTATGAGGCTGGAAATTACTTCGCTTGAGCTTTACTGCCGCTGAATCAATCCCTAATTTTTTTTACGTTCCTCGTCATTTTTACCTTGGTTTTTTTAGAATGGGTAAGCTTATGGGTATGTTTTTCTTCGTGGCATGTTGGACTTTTTCCTCCGGGAGGACGATTCGCGACGTCAAAATAGGTTTGTGACTTTTATTTTTTCTGTTTAGTAATTAAATCTGTTTCGTAAAGGGAATGTGACAAAAAACAGAACTTTTGTAAGTAAGTGAAAGTGGGTAAGGGTTGTTTAAAAAACGAAAGGAAGCAAGTGACATGGAAACAATTATAGGAAATACGAAATATGAACCAAAACCAAGGGGAAAGTAAAAAGGAAAGACGTTATTTTTGGCTTCATTTTCATATTCTGTGAGTGCATGCGCGATTCATTTACTGTTTTGTCTCTCGGATGAACCACTGATGTTGAAAATTTAGAAGGGTACTTTTGAAATAGTTACATCTGCTCATGTCGCAAACACAAGTTGCTGAACAATAGGTTTTGAGCCGTTTGTTTCCTTCCTTAGTTGGACTAAGTCTTTATTCAGTAGTGAGCTTTGCATCCCATTTAATGCTTAGTAACTATATAGAGTCAAATGAGGTGCTTTTTGTCATATGTTACAGACTTCAAACACCATTTCAAAGAGACATATTTAGCATCAGTTTCGTTCCTCGAGTATATATGTATCTCTGATAATCGAGTACATTGAATGGGAGACTTTAAACTTAGGATGTGTATAACTTATACGTATCTTTGAGTATCTTTCTCTACGAGTGAAACATTGCAGGGATGAATCAATCAAATAAAATAAAAAAGTTACATTGGTAGTGATAATTATATTTAACAGTCGGTGCTTTGCTAAGAAGATTGCAATTTGGGAGGTGGCTGGATCAATTGATAATATCAAAAGAGATCGATACTGCACCTTGATGGTTATTCACAGGGATTTTGTTCGCGATTCCTACGCTAGTTCTTGAGAATTATGCATTTCTGTTGGAAACCTAGTTATCATATATGGACACAGACGTCTTCTATTTTCTTTAACACGAAAGAAGATAAAGAAAGCAAATTTAATCACAGGGTGAAGATGACCTTCTCAGTTACCACTTAGACTAAAAGCTAAAGAAAAAGAACATGCGATAAAGTCAAACGCGAAGAGAGAGT